CCACAGCTATTTGTATTCCGGGCATTTAACAGCTTATTATTATGTAAAATTGTCCCCTCAATCAGAAAATACCGTCAAAAATTATAAAAGTAAAGCAGTTTTAAGATATAGTCAATACCATATTATATGGAAAATTTACTAAATCTCAAAAACGTTCTACTTTTATAACTTTTGACGACATTTTTGGATTCAGCGGACAATTTTACATAGGAGTTGACTGTTAAATATCCGGGATATAAATTACTATTGACAATAATTATTAGTTGCTGCTTTTTCGCTATTGCAATTAGACTAATTGAATTAGTCATTTTTGACTAATTCTATTTTAGAGAGTTACTACTGTTAAACTTTGCTACCGTCAACTGCAACTATCAAACAAATACTAAAGATAATATGACCATTTCTCTCCTTTTATTTTGATCAAAACAAAATAAGCAGTCAATATCAAAGCGGCAAAAAGCGCTTTATAGCGACAGAAAAAAAGAGCGGCCGACGCAAAAAAGGCAGAAACCTTTATCCAATTTATGTTTAAGTATCATATGCAAGAAAGTTTATCGTTACAAAGTACTGATTGAGTCTTTGATTTTGCGCCCCCGAAATGTTGCGCCTGCGTGCGTGCACGCACTGCACGCTCGCCAGGAACGGGCCTGTTTTTATGCCATAGAAATATACATTAAAAATGGGATATTTTGTTTGACTTCTTGCCTACACAATAATATTTTAAAAATAAATAAATAAAACAGTAACAAATTTACTTATAACAAATGTTGTGTTGAGCATAATATGATATATTATATCAATAAAGGTATTTTGTTGCAATTCCGCACGCCAAGATGTATTCGCGCGCCAAACGAAGCGTTAAAAATAAGTTGACTTCTGAAAAAGAAAGCGCTGTTGCCAAATTTATGGTGCCAGAGAGCAAACATAATTGTATGGTGCCACTTTGCGTCTATTTACCAACTTGTATGCACCGCAGCGCCCCCATCGGAGGATGGTCGAACTAATCAGTATGTAAATTCAGAATTATGGTCAATCCGGCACCCAATCGAAATTTTGCCAGACGCTTCGTTATGCCCTTATATGAACATAGGGCTGACAAGCACTCAAAACGTAACGGCACCCAAAACCGGGTGCCACATGGTAAAATTGGGTGCCGTTTAGACAATTTTCACCTATAAATGGTGCCACTTTGACGAAATATATGTATATATATATATATATATATATATATATATATATATATATATATATATATATATATATATATATATATATATATATATATATATATATATATATATATATATATATATATATATATATATATATTAGGGTGATTCATTTCCGCAAAGTTTTTGTTTTTTTTCGGTGCTCAAGCAAAATATTAATCTACCTATAGAAAAAAAAATTTTCACCAAGGTAGAGCTCTTAATATCAATTTTAAGTACTTGCAGTTTAAATTTAAAGTTTTCCCATTTAAAATGCATGTAAAAAAAATGTTTTTTTTTTCAAATTTCTAATGCTTACCCACCTTTGACAATATTGCAAATCGGTTTAATACACCTTATGGGGAATTTCACGCTCTTTAAAATTGCTTTTGAGTTTTTTTTTGTAACTCGCATTGGTTCACCAGTAGGAGTCGTCAAAGGACAGTTTTTGAAAAAAATCGTTTTTTTATTTTTTCGAGCAAATTGCCAAAAGTAGTGAGAAAAAAGGTCTGATTCATAAAAAAAAAGTTATCCAACCAATATTTAATGAATTTACTGCCATTTTTATAACTGAAAACGTAAGAAATTGATAAATACCAACTCATAATGTTATTTAGATTGATTTTTTCTATTTATTATCATTATATTTCCCTAAACTAAGAACTTTTTTAAAATTATTATGATTTCTCACTCATAATGAATATGAAAACAACACATAAATTCATAAAAAAAACAACAAAACTTTAATCGGAATATACAGAAGGTTATGTAACATATTTCAAATTTCGCTTCAAAAAATTAAATAATCTTCATTTATATTTTTTTGCTATTTTTTTATGAATTTATGTGTTGTTTTCATATTCATTATAAGTGAGAAATTAATAATTTTAAAAAACTTCTTAGTGTAGGGAAATATAATGATAATAAATAGAAAAAATCAATCTAAATAACATTATGAGTTGGTAATTATCAATTTCTTACGTTTTCAGTTATAAAAATGGCTGTAAATTCATTAAATATTGGTTGGATAACTTTTTTTTATGATTCAGCCCTTTTTTCTCCATACTTTTGCGGTTTGTTAGAAAAAATTTAAAAAAAAAACCGATTTTTTTCAAAAACTGTCCTTTGACGACTCCTACTGGTGAACCAATGCGAGTTACAAAAAAAAACTCAAAAGCAATTTTAAAGAGCGTGAAATTCTCCATAAGGTGTATTAAACCGATTTGCAATATTGTCAAAGGTGGGTAAGCATTAGAAATTTGAAAAAAAACATTTTTATTACATGCATTTTAAATGGGAAAACTTTAAATTTAAACTGCAAGTACTTAAAATTGATATTAAGAGCTCAAACTTGTTGAGAATTTTTTTTTCTATATGCAGATTAATATTTTGCTTGAGCACCGAAGAAAACAAAAACTTTTCTCCCTACTTTTTGCGGTTTGTTAGAAAAAATTTAAAAAAAAAAACGATTTTTTTCAAAAACTGTCCTTTGACGACTCCTACTGGTGAACCAATGCGAGTTACAAAAAAAAACTCAAAAGCAATTTTAAAGAGCGTGAAATTCCCCATAAGGTGTATTAAACCGATTTGCAATATTGTCAAAGGTGGGTAAGCATTAGAAATTTGAAAAAAAAAACATTTTTTTTACATGCTTTTTAAATGGGAAAACTTTAAATTTAAACTGCAAGTACTTAAAATTGATATTAAGAGCTCAAACTTGTTGAGAATTTTTTTTTCTATATGCAGATTAATATTTTGCTTGAGCACCGAAGAAAACAAAAACTTTGCGGAAATGAATCACCCTAATATATATACATAGATCGTTATTTTCGGTTTATTTCCACTATTTTAAACACATGGGATCTTTTATATCTAAATTTAGGTTTTATTTTTAAATTTAACGGGTTTTTGTTTGTATTAAAATGTTGGCTGGGGCTTTAAATAAAAAAAATACAATATAAAGATTATGTAGTGATACTTTTATATATCATATAAATTAGTTAAAATTAAATCATAATGGTATATTAAAGAACTAATGTCATAAGACGTCATTTTTAGGGGTGTGCGAATATCGTTCGAATCGAATCGAATATTGATATTCGAATCGAATAATTTGAATTTTCTAATTATTCGAAATTCTACGAATAATTCGAGAAAAATCGAATAATTCGAAAAATTTCGAATAACTCGAAAATTTTCAAATAATTCGCGAAATAATGAAATATCTCTGGATTTTCAATTGCTTCCATTTAAATTCCTTTAAATAGTGTATCGAAATATTCTACTAACGAATAATATACTTTTCGTTAAAAAGTCAATTACCCAGAGAAAAAAAATCTATAAGAAAAAGGTTACTCATGTAATGTTTCAGTATCGTATTTATTATTTTTGCACAAAAATTTGTAGCAAATTTTCAAATGTTTTCATAATACTGTATTTGCTACGATATAATTTCTGTTATTTCATTCTCTTTCAAAATAAAAACTGGACTTATTGTTCTATTTGTGTAACTATATTTCATGGTTTGAATAAAATGTATATTGACTGTTAAATTCATATTTGAATATTGAACATAAGAAACCCTGAATTCAAAATACTCGAAAATTCACTAATAATATAATAGTTTACGAATAATTCGAAAATTTTCGAATTCGAAATTTTTCGAATTATTCGAGAACTTTCGAATTCGAATTTTAGAATTATTCGATTCGAGTTCCTAATCGAATATTAATATTCGATTCGGTTCGAATTATTCTCACACCCCTAGTCATTTTGTCGCATGCGGACAATTTATAAAACGAGCGACGAAGGAGCGAGTTTTGTAATATACGAGTGCGAAAAAAAAGGTCTTATGACATGAGTTCTTTATGCTATTTTATCTATTTTGCGAAAATTCTATAAAAAAATTAATTTTATACCTCAAATTTAATTTAGTCGAATTTTACTTTAGATAGTTGGTTTGACAGTTAATGTCCAAATCGATTCGCCATGCCGTCCTTAATTTACTTATTTACAATAAGCGGCTGTTAATGTTAAAGAAGAAAGAAAGGATTTTCTGTGGTGTTAAACAAAATTTATTGCCAGAAAAGTCTCGTAAGTACTAGAAAAATCATAAAAATATTATAACCAATATGCAAAATATTATGCGGTTTAAAGTATAGCCAACCTATAAAATCAAAATTTTGGGTGGGGTAAGTATCTCATTAAAGCACCGGTGTTATAATGAAGTCATTATGAATGCAAAATAGATAAAATTAATTTTAACGTACGTCAAAAACATGGTATTTTTGTAAAATTTTCCGTTATTTGATAAAAAATTTTATATACCGTATTTCAGGGTAAAATTATACAGAATGAGTGCATCCGAACTTTTTAGGTAAAATAACCATCTTTAAAAGTAAATTAACTTAATAATTACGCAATACGTTGGGCGGAGCGAATGCTGCTATGATACGTTGGGTGTATACACCAAAAATGAAAATACACAGTATGTGGGCATTTCACGCAAAGCTAAAAAACAAAATTATCAAGTTGCTTAACTCAATATTATTATTAAATGATGGTGTAGAAAGGTTTTAATTTTTCCAGAATTTAAATAAAAAGGTTTTAATTTTTCCATAGTTCGTTATAATTTAAAATATTTTGAAAATGGTTACTATAAAAACATAGTTATATTTCAATCAATTGAATTTTAGTTTCATTAAAACCCCTTTTCTTCTAATAAATAAATTTAAATTTACAAACCACAAAACCTAATTGCCCAAAGTTAACATAAAAATGTTCTTGGTTTAGATCCGTTTCATCAACTGAAGAAAACCATCCGCCGGACACATGGCTGCTGAACGGACCGCTCGGTTCGAAAAACTCTCTGTTGGTGTTCAAAAGTTCCGAGCTGGCGAACAGCTCGGAACTGGCGATCAGAGTCAAGCCGGCCTACAAACTGCACGTCACCTACAAAGTGCTGCAGGCGGAGACAAGACTGCTGTCGAAAATTTTAGACTGTCACGGGGTCACCGAAGTTCCTCCCAACTCGTCGGATTTTAATTTGTTGTGGACCGGGTCCCATCCCAAACCAGGTAAGATAGAGAAGAAAGTTTTGTTTTACATATTTTTTTGTTGGAACCATACAGTTGAGAATCTATGGTTGGAACACAAAATATAAAAATATATAGAAACTCTAGCCTAGGTCAAAAAATGATGCACTGTGACAACACCAGGGTGGGTCATTTTGAGTAAAACATTTACTATGAGTTTGAGTAAAAAACTGTATGTCATAAAATAATACAATAAAAAACACAAATAAGAGGAATTATTTTGACAAGATTGTCAAATGTTTTTTATGACAGTTTGTTTTGAACATTTTTCTTTGTTATAATTAACCAACATTTTAAAACATTATTTTTTCTATACCCTAAAGAAGCATCATTAGTAGCGCCACCACGTGGCCGTTATAATCGTAACAAAACTACAACTTCCAATAATCAGCTGTCAAACGCGTATGTTACAAACGAGTGAATAAAGCAGGAAAATGTTAAAAATATCGGGAAAAAACCGTGGCACGATTTGTTCGAAAAGAAAACCTGGGTTGAGTTTTTACCAGTTTTCCACTTAACAGTGGAAATCCGAATGAAGAAATAAATTGCATACAGTCCCTTGTAAATATAAATTGTACCTATTAGAAACAATAAATACACATTTTAGTAATGATTTACGTGAAAATTGTAAACAATTCAATTCAGTAAAAATCATAATACAAATAAGTCTTCTAAATTCAAACAGCATTATGCATTATTAAAAGCGTTGATTAAGGTAGTCTCCACTTAACAGTAAAATACCAATTGGTATTACCGGTATTATATTATGTATTATATATAATATTATGTTGCCATGAATTCGTAGGTATATTTTGTCATTTAAAACGCAGTCGGCGTTTTTTTAGAGGACTCAAATATATATGTTACCGGCAATGTAAAAAATCCGGCAATGTGTGAAATGTCTAGATATTCTGCAAACTGACCAATTTACCAGACATTGTGCAAAATCACTACCATTTTGGGCAATCTGCAAATTTACTACGCTATTTTAGGCAATCTGCAAAATGTCTGATGCGATAGTCAATCTGGGGATTAAAGGTTTTTAATTCTTACATTGACCAGGCAGTGTGCGCAATACTTTTACTTCTGTCGAACTTCGCTATTCAGTCATCCCTGCAAAAATAAATCAGTGACTAGAAGTACACCGGGAGTACGGACATTAAACGTACACCGGGTGGAAAAAAATCCTTATTTAGCAAATTTTTATATTTGTCAATTGTATAATATTGGGTTGTTGAGTTTGGGTTGGTTTGAGTAATTCATACTGACATTTCATTAATTTTGTTGTTAATTGTATTTCAATTACTTAATTAAATTTTAATCAATGTTTATACAACCTGAAAGTTAGCTAAATAATTACATAATTATTATCAAGAGTTAACAAGCTGTTTTCCAACTGTTATACAACTGGGCCTTAGTGTACCAATTTAATCTCAACTTATAAATTTGAAAATTTACCATCAGCTGGTATGGAAACACGCATGCGCACAAACCTGATGTACGTTTAATGCCAATACTCCGGTGTACTTCTAATCACGGCGAAAATAAATACCTTTCTAAAAATGTTTTATTTTACCATATTTTGTTGTACCATTATATAAATAAGAAGTGCTTGTAAATTTAATTTTTATTTGTAGTATTTCTTTTCTAAAAACAAAATTCAGTTTTTCAATTTTACATTTCTATCGTAAATTAGTGTTGCGCATACTGCCTAGTCAATGTGAGAAGTAAAAACCTTTAATCCCCAGATTAACTATCGTATCAGACATTTTGCAAATTGCCTAAAATAGCGTAGTAAATTTGCAGATTGCCCAAGAATCTTGGGCCAAGATGGTAGTGATTTTGCACAATGTCTGGTAAATTGGTCAGTTTGACAGTCTAGACATTTCGCACATTGTCGGATTTTTCACATTGCCGGTAACATATACATATTCGATTTTAAGGTTATGTTTGTAAAACAATTATTTTTTGTTAGATTTCTTAAAAATGTCCATACTTATATAAATTATATTAGGCAAACTTATCATTAGTTAATTCTGCACGTACCGAATTGGATTCTTGGGTAAAACATGAAAAAAATTTAGTTATTGAATTTTATTTACAATTAAAAATGCAATAATTCACCATGACCACTTGGATAAAATACACAAACTAACGTAACTATATAAGCATAACAGCGTTTGTTTTCTTAATCAATGATGTAAGGAATAATAAATCGAAATTTATTTATTTATTTTTATTTTATTATTTTTAATGTGCTTTCAACAGTAGTCCGGTCAATCTAGACATTCGAAGGTACATAAATTTACAACAAGCTGAAAATCAGTAAAATTGTTCAGAATATAATTATAAACAAAATTTTAAAGTTCCCCATCATTCCCCTGTATGGAAAAATTTTTATTCAAGGTCAAAGGTCAAAAAAATGATTTTTCGCGATTTTCAGCAAAACGGTAAGTTTTATCATAAAAATATATAAGACAAAAATTGTAGATCATAAAATAATCTATAAAAAATGTTTCAACACTTTTTTTTCTACGAGCCACCGTTTCTGAGATATAACGATTCGAAAAGTTGTAAAAGTTATAATCGCCATAATATGCACACGTTTCCACGCCACCTATGAGGTAGTTTACTTAGTGGGAATCGCGCCGCGACCGCTCCACCTAAACTGGGTAGTAATTTTAAAGATGAATTTTATATTTCTCACGTCTTCTGTCACCTTATATGTGTTATCTGTCATTTGTAATCTGTCTACTGTCATTAGTCACTTGTCATCTGTCAACTTGACATCTGTCATCTATCATCTGTCATCTGTCATCTGTCACCTGTCACATGCCACCTGTCATTTGCCACCCTATCGATTTGATTTCGGGGATTTTAATTGGTTAACTTTTTTAAATACCCAACAAAAATTGAATGGGCTTCTGGCCGATTAGTTTTCATTCGATGAAGCTCATCTTTTAGTATGTGAAACTTTGGTCTTTTACCCGTCGATTCGTGTATTTCGTTCGGCCAATTTAAAAAATTTCTCTCGCCCTAAAAAAATAAAAAAAGAACGCTGTTCGAAAAGTTTCCGGCGGATCCGGCCCGTTTGCAATATTTATTTTTTCCGTTGTCTGTATATCCTTTTTTTTCTAAGGGGCGTAGCTCGGAGGCCGTTGAAGGTTAAAATTTGCATCCTTTTTTTCTGCCCACGAGACCTATCCGCGGACCAAATTTTTCCGGTGTCGAAAAGGCCCAAGTCCACTTTTTTTCTATTTTTCCGTCAAATTTGGCACGTTCCGTTGTCTTGGCTTAACTTTCGAACGAGCGGAGATTTTTCGGCCAAAGTCGAGGAAAAGGTGCTTCGGGACAAGAAGTTATCACCAATGGCATTCGATTTCTTCTTTCTATATACGGAGCTCCTAAAAAAACTATCTGCTTTGATAAGTATCGATATGCATGTTTCGTTAAAAATACTAAAAGTAAAAAACAAGTTCAATTAGCTTGTCTTCCTCCAACCTCAGTTGCTGCTCTTCAACATGTTTTACGGGTATATTATTACCAAGTTCAAGTGTGGCTTGGTTATCAGCTAGATCCTATAGACTGGGGTTGGAAGTTAGTCAACAACACATTAGAACCAGTTCAAACTTTACTCCCACCTGCGCCGGAAAAACTGCTGAACACAATTTTTTGCAACTGCAAAAAGGGATGCAGTGCTAAATGTGGTTTCAAAAAAGTCGGACTGTTTTATTATCTGGCATGTACGAATTGTCAAGGCCGGTCGTGCTGTAATGCTGAATCACCAACAGTGGAGGATTCATTTAATTCCAACGAGGTGACATGCGATACATCGCTATTGACGCAATTTACTTGTACCCAGGATGAAGATGAAGAAGAAAAACAACAAGAAGAAGAACAAGAAGAAGAATTTAAATGTTACGAATCAGACGAATAAACTTCAGTACTTTTTTTAAATTTACATCGCTATTTTTTTTCCAATCATTGCTAATTTCCGTTATTTTGCAATAGTTTCAAATTAAACAGGATCACAACTGACCCGTGAATAGGCCTACTGGGGAAACCACTTGATATTCTTATAGTTATAACTTATGTAGGTATACTTTATATTTTAAGTGTAAGTTAAAATGACCAATAGAAAAATATTTTAACATATATTACAACTCTAGAGATGTATATACGTCGCGTACTCATGCATATTATGACGATTACAACTTTTACAACTTTTCGAATCGTTATATCTCAGAAACGGTGGCTCGTAGGAAAAAAAGTATAAATACATTATTTATAGATAATTTTATAATACACAATTTTTGTTAAAGGTATTTTTATGAAAAAACTTACCGTTTTGCTAAAAATCGCGAAAAACTCATTTTTTTGACCTTTGACCTTGAATAAAATTTTTTCCATACAGGGGAATGATGGGGAACTTTAAAATTTTATTTATAATTATATTCTGAACAATTTTACTGATTTTCAGCTTGTTGTAAATTTATGTAACTTCACTGTTATTTTTTGGTCTAATTTGACCGGACTACAGGCACCAGGCCCAATTACAGAAATACACAATGACAAACACAAATAAACAACCATACCCCTGGTGGGATTCGAACCCACGACCTCTCGGCTTGTAGTCCGCAGTGCTAACTACTACACCACCGAGGGCGGTACTAAACCAAAGTTTTGCAGTTTTTACTTGCAACGCAAAGCACAAATAACGTGCGCGATTTAGCTGTGCAATTTAAACTTTGCGAACAAAATTTGTCGAGTAAGACTTCCTCTCTGTTGTGAAAAAACAAATTATTTATTTAAAAATGATGCGCAGTTCGTATGCTTTAAAGGTATTGTTGACAATTCTTGAACTCACACAATGCTATCGAATCGGATGTTTTAATTGCGGCAAAATGTTGCAACAGCGCGTTCTCTGCTCTGTGAATTACCTTTTATGTTATGTTATTATGGCAACCCATACATTTAAAGAACTAGGTATATTATGTTTGTAATTTGGCGCATTCTACTTCTACTTTTTAAGGGCAAATAATCTAAAAAAAACATAAAAAAGCGACGAAGGAGCGAACCCATAACCCTACTCTCTAAAAATGAATTAGTCAAAAATTACTAATTACTAGTTATTAGTGGCTGCTTTTTCACTTGTACCATGGTATCTCAAAATTTAAAAGCCAATTCTTATGTAAAATTGTTCCCTGAATCCGAAAATGCCGTATGAAAGTAGAGCAGTTTTTAAGATTTGGTCAATTCCATATTAAATGGAAAATTGACTATATCTTAAAAACTGTTCTACTATTTTTAAAAACTTTTGTCAACATTTTCGGATTCAGGGGACAATTTTACATGGAAATTGACTGTTAAATGTTCGGGATACAAATTGCTATTGACGATAATTATTAGTGGCTGATTTTTTGCTATGATAATGAGTCATTTTTGACTAATTCATTTTTAGAGAGTAGTTAAGATTAATTGCAAAGTGTGACACGTACAAACTTTTATTTTCACCTTTAGCTAATTAGATAACGATTTTCAAATTTCTTGAAACATTTACAGCCAAGAAATTTTTTCTTTAAAAATATTATTTTTACAATAATCACATCATCAATGTAAAATATAAAAAATAAAATAAAAAAAAACAGTGTATTAGTTTATAAGTCAATATTAAGTTTACAAAAAAAAGAACAATAAAAAGTTTATTCGTATTTTACCACTTTTAGAATAACCATGGCATGTGGCGTGACGTACAAGTAATCTTTGTAATCACTTTACTTCGTGATTTTCTTTTTACTTTGTTGTTATGTTAATGCATCCACACCAGTGGCGGACTAAGGGGAAGCGGTCCGTCCCGACCTCCCGGTCAAGAGGGGCCCCCCAAATCTTAAGTAGTCTCTCTCAGTCCAATAAAAAGAACTAAAATTTTTACAGGGTGGAAGTCTTCGCTTCAATCCGCTTGGGGAAATTACTTTGTTATTAAAAATTAAAAAAACAATAATATTTTTGTTTTTCTAAGCGATTTTATTAGGTTTATGTTTGTTTTTTGTTAATAAGAAATTTTGCAATAGAATAATCGTCTTTAATCGGGTGGCTATAAAATTTTAAGGTACCGGAGCGGTTCAGTACACTGCTATTCATAAATAGCAATAATAATCTAAAGCTGTAGCACTAAGGGTTATTTGCTTTAAAAAGCTGACCAAAAGTCAATTTTGTAGAAAAAGTCGTTAATAAATTTTTTATTTACATTGAATAGCTCAATAAATGGAAACCAATGTTTTAATTTTTTTTTACCCCTGCACTACCAGGCGGAATTTTGATATTTATTTATTTTATTTTTATCTATTTGTTTTATTTTATAATAATTTTACTGAATTTTTATTTTCTGTCATTTTTGTTTATAAATGTATAAAACTTAACTTGTGTTTTTTTCACTTTACCTACAGTCAAGTAAAACTTATCAAAGTGAATATGACTGAGCGCTATTAAAAATTTATTTCATATTCCTAAATTTGTAAAAATTGTTTATTAGAAATGCAAGGGTCTACCCGAAATAGAAAAAAATAGGCAAGGGGTCTACAAGACAAAAAAGTTTGGAGATCTCTGATAAACAATCAAAATAAATACGAGGTGTGTTCAGAAAATAACGGGAATTGTTAAATTTCGCGGGTTCGGAGGGTCCGGTTGTCATAAAATTTTCTTTATTATGTTGGTATACATGCCCCCGAAGTATGATTAAAAATTTAGCTGTTTTCATTGTTAACTTTGTCTGTGGCAGCCGCTAAGGTTAGACGTGTTTTATGAGCACGGCGATTTTTCGTTCGTTAAAAGAAATGGATCAAAGAATTTTATCCAATTTTGCTTAAAAAATGAAATAAATTCTGTGAAATGTTAACAAAGGCCTATAGTGAGACTGCTATAAGTAAAACAAGAGTTTACAAGTGGTATAAGAGTTTCCAAGATGGCCGTGGAGACGTTGAAGATGACGAACTACCCGAACGCACAAGCGCATTAACAACTGATAAAAACATGGAAAAAGTGGAAGAAATGGTTATGACCCATCAGAGAAGTCGCTGATGATGTTGGTATATCGATTGGCTCATCCCATGAAATTTTTTCGAATGTTTTGGCAGCAAAATTTGTTCTAAAATTGTTAAATTTTGAACAACATTTTTGGAAAAAAACAATACTGTAATGATGCCCCAGCCTCCACATTCGCCAGACATGCCTCTGTCTGACTTTTTCCTATTTCCAAAAATAAAGATAACCTTAAAGGGCCGTCGTTTTGCAAGTATAGATGACATTAAAAGCGCATCGCTGAAAGAACTAAAGTCTATCCCAAAGATCGAGTTTTAGAAGTGTTTTGAGTAATGGAAGAAGAGCTGGCACATGTGCTTAATATCCAATGGGGACTATTTTGAAGGCGACAACATTAATGTCAAAAAATAAAAATTCCCGATATAACACACCTCGTATAATACCTCTAGCAGGATGGATTATCTACATAATTTATTAATAATTTATTATTTTAACTTAGCGTCGCATTTGAAAAATGGCCGAACTGACGCTGATTTGTGAATGATTTTAGCGGCCGAGACTCAGACAACAGACACCTTTTTATCAAGAGCGCTTTACATCAGAAAACTTTAATTGAACTTTTCAAAAAGTTTATAAATATTGTTGAATAACTTAGTAATACATATTTAGGAAATAATATTTACATAAAATTTGGAAATAAATGTTAAAAAATATTTACGGATTATTTAAAAATGTTATTTTTCCCTGAATGTTCGTACAACATTTCATCAACCTTTTATTTATAAATATTGTTCTATAAACGGCCTGACAACATTTTTAAAACATATCGTGTTATGTGGGTATCTTGACTAGGGTTGGGACAGTTGAAATTTTCAAATGAAAATTTCAACTTTGAAAGTTTCAAACTTGAAATATTTCATTTAGTTGGAAAAGTGAAATTTTTAAAAATTTCAAATGAAATTTTCAATCCGAAAATTTCAACATTGCCAATTTACTGAAAATTTCGCATAAATTTCACATGCGGCCTCCCCTGGGACATTTAATAATAATTTACAACAGATTCCGAATCGACCAATAAGAACGAGTTATCAAGCGTCTGGGTGTTTTTGTTTAGTTCGGCTTGGATTTGAATACACTATAAGTAATTATTGTAACTTATATGCATAAATTAATTTAAATAATTTAATTTAGTTACCAATTTAATATGTAAATTAAATCAGACTTTAAATTTTTTTTAAAGTCATGATTAATTTAAACTTTTACTTTTGCTATAGTTGCATCGGAAAACGGATAAAAAATGCCTTTGGCTCATAAAATTTTGATGAAGTTTCTTCAATTTTCGTAAAATTTCAGTAAATAATATAAAAATATTAAATATACATAAATATAAAACAATGAAAGTGGCACAATCTCATTAGCTTACCAAAAAGTGCTATATCTCTTTTAGTTTTAGTAATTTTAAAAATATTTTAAAAGGAAATCTCAAGAAATTTGTGGTAAACATAGGTATTTACTATTTATATTATTGGTGCAGGGGCCCACAGAGGGGTAGGGGGTAAGAGAAGCAATTTTCCATGGTCCCCGAGTGGGCTTATTTTAATATTAATATATTACACTTAAAGTGATTGAAATTTATTGAAAGTTTCAATAAATTTCATAAATGTCATGAAAATTTCAAGTGCAAGCAAAAAGTGCAATTTTCCCAACCCTAACCCAACTGAATACCTTAATGCGTTATTTATGATCGAGCATTTCTTAGGTACATTCAGAACATTAGCGCCTCACCAGAGACTAAACCATTTCCCGCGAGCCTACGAACTGACGAGAAAAGACAGACTGTACAAGAACATCGAGATGATGCAGCACCAGAAGGGCTACAAGAACTTCGACTTCATACCGCAAACGTTCGTCATGCCGCTGGAGTACCGCGAGCTGTGCACGACGCACAACCGCATCAAGGGCCCGTGGATCGTGAAGCCGGTCGCGTCCAGCCGCGGTCGAGGAATCTTCATCGTCGAAACCCCGAACCAAGTGCCTCTGGAAGAGCCGGTGGTGGTGGCCAAGTACCTGTCGAAGCCGCTCCTGGTCGCCGGTCACAAGTGCGACCTCCGACTCTACATCGTGGTTACCAGCTTCGATCCTCTCATCATCTACATCTACGAGGAGGGATTGGTGCGGTTCGCGACTGTCAAGTACGACTCTAGTCACAAGCAGCTGTGGAATCCCTGCATGCATCTGTGCAATTACAGCATCAACAAATATCATAGTGACTATGTAAGGTGAGCAAAATTTATAAATTATTAGATGTGCGTGCGAAAATCGATTTTAGTAGGAGTGGTGATGTAAAAAAAACATTGCTTAGTTTTCTGAAAAAAAAACGAATTATAAAAAAACCTTTTGTTTTTATTATAAATAAAACAGTTTATAAAGAGGACAAGTGTCATTATCTAGATTGTCTAAGACATCATAGTAGCATACAAACTCCAAAAACTTCCCAACACAAGAAAAATTTGAGATTTCAATTATAAAACGTCGTTCGACAGCTTGGTTTTTAGTAGGTACCTCAAAATAGTATTTTACATTACTAAGATAAATTCAAATGGATTTTGTGAAAGAAGTTTTTAGTAATGGGTAAGGCTTCCCGATGTGGACCCTGAATTTACAAACGATAACTTCACACAGGTTTTATTTAAAAAATATTCACTTGTTTATTTTTTATAATCAATCAAACTTTTCAGCAGTGCTTTTTTACGCTGCAATGCGTTGTTTGAAGTCAATGATTTTTTTGTAAATTAATAATGCATCTTTCTACAATTATTGTATTTTACTGGCCATGGTCTTCATAGCCAGAGCATCATAAAATTAAAGCTTAGATGAGCATTTATGTATATGAGACATTTTACGACAAATCAGCAACTTTTGAACCTTTTAATTTGACTAAAATTTTGATATACTATATTACCCCACTAAATTTAATTTAAATATATAATAATTTCTTCTTTTTTGAAATAGTATATTACACTACAAGGGCAGAAAGTGTGAGGTTCCTCACACTTTCTGCCCGTGTAGTGTATAGGTACTATTTTTCTTACTACCTCGGCCGAAAATACAACCCGGCCGAAAATACGGGAAAAAATTAAATGTGTATATCGAAACATATTGATGCCTGCCCCGACATTTGCGGCACGAGCGAAGCCTTCGTAGCCCTTGTAGTGTAATATACTCGAAAATACGTTGTTTAGTCCCCGATTCCAATGCATCAAACGTAAATTTGACCAATGCATCAAACGTAAACTTTCTGCCGTGGAATCGGGGACGAAACAACGTATTTTCGGCCGAGGTAGTAAGAAAAAATATTTAGTCCTGTTCTATAAAATGTTTCAGTTTTTCGGAAAAACAAATTTTTTAAGTACGCTATTTTTTAACTTTAATTTATTTTGCTTTAATGCCACAAATACCACGGTGGGTCAACTTTCTAATTTTTTTAATTGATTTTTTTTTCAATCTTAAGTTTTTTGTTCTAATAAAAACATAAATCTAAATAGAATAGAAGTAGAAAATTATAAAAAAGGTGGCTTACTATGGAATTTGGGGAATTACCTGAAAAATAATTAAAAGTTTTTCTTCAAATGCGAAATTAAAGATGGCGAATTTTTTTTCTCCTGAAAAACTGAAATATTATCCTAATGATTTGAAAAAAAAGTCTCAATTAGACAGATTTTGTAAAAGTTATAAGAGTTCGAAATAAAAGCACTAGGTAAATTTCGGGTGGGTGAAATTTAGTTTTAAAAAATCACATAATCGTTTGTAATTTGCAGTTTTATAAAATATTAGGCATAGTTTTTATTAGGCAGGAAGACAATTATTTCTTAAACGTACATATTTATTACCTAAATGCTATATAAAAAAAATAGTTTAAGATTCTCGCACGGCATGCCGGGGAAATTTTTTTGCATGTCAGGGCAGTGCTCTGATTTGCCCAGGGCCGGCTTAAGACAATGGATCGCCTTAGGCACTTACAAAATTGACGCCTATTACTAGATACATACTATACTTACGGGGCCCACTCCACTATACTCTATGGCCTACTCAAATCTGTTAGCTTAAGGGCCCAGGGCATACTAACCTAATTATTCCCTATGAATTAAAATACTTTTTATCAAAAAAATAGGTTTATTAAAAAAAACACATAAAAAACATAAATAAAATCCAATTATAGTATTCATAAAAAGTGTAAACGTTAAGACTTTAATTCCCTGTATTTTTATGTACTGCTGGTTTATTAAAATTATTTTAATATTAAAATTTCATAAATAACTTATAATCGACTGATTAATTTCATCTGAAATAAAATACATGTATGTAAATAACAAGGCATAAAAAGAGAAGCGAATTGGCACGCGCTTAAAAAGCGGCACGCTTTTGCCTTTTGTTGGCTATAAAATAATAAAACCAGTAAATTGCTACCATACCTTACTTATAATTTTATATTGTTTATTTAATTTATTTTTGGTAAAAATCTTTTAGTAAAAATTTTTATTTTTTTAAGTTGGTTAGGGGCAAGGCGCCTATTTCTTCGTGTCGCCTAAGGCAATTGTCCTGCCTGCCTTATGGGTAATATTTCCCTGGATTCGCCCCCTTCTGGCTGCTTGTAGGCCTCGAACATTATTTTTAAAAGTAAGAAGTAGTGTGAGGTTTATATGATATTTAAATTATAAAATATAAAATGTTATATTGAAGTTGCTTAATTGCAGTTATTTATTTTGTTCGAGCGAGCGCCTTCCCTACATTGCTTTCGTGGGTTTTACGTTTCACAGTGACAAAAAATGCCACGAAAGCAAGGGCATTTTTTAAAATTTTAATGTGATATTTTTTAAACAAAAAAAAAGTATTCAATACTTTATTGTTTAAGAAATAATACAATAAAATTTTAAAAAAATATTACTTAGTATTGTAGAAAAATTTATTATTGATTTACAAAAAAATCATTTACTTTGAACAACTCATTTTTTTTAAGAAAGCACTGCTGAAAATTTTGTTGGTTTATAAAAAATAAACAAGTTATTATTTTTTTAAAGTTATCGCCTTTGAAAACATTTTTTGTATAAAATTTTGCCCCTTGGTAAATTCAGGGTCTACTTCAGAAAGCCTGATATAAACAATTTAAATTAATAGTCATTTTGATCATCTTTCTTAGATCTGACGATCCTTCCGCCGAAAATGTCGGCCATAAGTGGACCTTAAGTGCATTATTGAGACATCTCAAATCAGAGGGCAGGGACACGATTTCCCTGATGTCTCAAATAGAAGACCTTGTGATAAAAGCTATACTAGCATCGGCTAACTCAATCATTTCCGCATGTAACATGTTTGTGCCTCATTTAAATAATTGTTTCGGTACGTATCTACTACAAATAAACCAACACAAATTTTCTTTAATTTTGTAAAATAGTCTAAATCTTTTCACAACGCACAATAATAAAGAAAATTTGTGAGCGATTCCAATAAATTGGACGTAGACTGTATAAACGTTTGTTTTTTTCTATAGAACTATTTGGTTTTGATATTTTGATTGACGACAGCCTCAAACCGTGGCTATTGGAAGTTAATTTGTCCCCGTCTCTTAATTGCGAGAGCCCCTTGGACGTTCGGCTCAAGTCGGCCATGCTCGCCGATCTACTCACCATGGTCGGGATACCGGCAATCGATCCCGTTTTGAGGCCGGTTTCGACGAAGACCAGCATCGGCAAAATGAAACAACCCAACAATGTAAGTAGTTATTTTTATTTATTTTTTTGACTGCATATCTCTATGGTTCATGGCAATGTTTGAGATTTTGTTTGAAGACAAAATTTCTATTTTCTACAAGACCAAAACATATGGCAAGCCGTTTTAGCATTTATTAGATAATAGTTTGAAGAATAAAGTTAATGATGTTTTAATAGAAATTTAAATTTTGTAAACTCAAAACAATTGATAGCCAAACATTTTTTAAATATAAAATACAACTGTAAAACTTTAAGCTTAAAATTATTGATTTTTAAAAATTTTAGTTCAAATATTTTATTTTACAAAATTTTCGGTTTAAGTTTGGAAAGAGTAATTTAAATGATAATCGCTAAATTTTTAATACAAATATTACCACACATTTTAAAACTAACATTTAAATGTAATGTGAGAATTTTTGTAGTTTAAATTAAAGTTTATTTTACCACGTTATAAACATAAATTTTCAGCTTGGCTATCTTAGTTTTTATTTTGTATCAATTTATGTTTATAACGTGGTAAAATAAACTTGTCTAAAATAGTTATTAATAGTTATTTTTGATAAAATTAAGTTTGTACCTATGTAAGTATGCCGCGTTCAGTGGCGTACTTATTTTTCTCCTAAACCTTCTAAACGTGTTTTATTTTTTGTTATTAATAAATATTTAAAAAAAAACTTGTCTAACATAGTTTTTAATTGTTCATTTTTACTGAAATTTGGCGGTATATTGGTATATATTTTTTTCGAAAAAACGACCGTAATAATTTTTCCTGAATTTTGACATATTATAGTAGGCATCTGTCAAGTGACATTGTAAATATTTATTTTTATAGCTTAGATATAGTTTTTATTCTCTATCTTTTGAGCCTTTATTCATTTAAATCGAGTAACAAATAAAAAAGTTACGGCGGTGTTTCCATCTTAAATGGGCCACACTGTATGTAGGATGAAAATATTTTATAATTAATTTTTTCTCAAAATCTCGAAATTGAACAAAACTAATACACCAAAGTGTAGGAATTTGAAAGACCTTCAAAATAAGGTATCACGCTACCCCTCTTGCATTTAAAAATTGTAGGGGTACCATCACCCTCTCTTAGGGGTTGATGTGGGGTTAAAAATATAAAAATAAATTTTCCCCACAAGCGTTTTTTATTTTTTTACGTGATAAAACCGGGGTGTAATCGTAATAAAGCTGTTAAAATATACTAAACATAATATACATTTTTCCATTTTACCAATATTATTTACAGGGTGTTTATTTAAAAACGAGCATTTAAGTCTACATTTGAAATGGATACAATAATTTCTTAAAATCGTTCAAAATGGCTGTACGACATAAGATTTAAAAATAACTATCCATATATACTGGGTGTATCTGAGAATAGGCGCACCCCTGTAACTTTTTTATTTATAAAGATAGACACATGAACATGGTTAATTAGGATATAAAATGCCACTTGAGTTTTTTGAACTTCCGTTTTTGCTGGAAATTATACCAACTTTCGATTTTTAAATGGAATGCCCTATATATTTTTACATATTTGGAATCCTGAGAAATTCTGAGTCAGACAGCATCCTCAAATTGACCTTTTATTGACAATATTTGGGTTTTTTTCGTAAATAATAGTAACCAATATAAACGCCCGGAATAACAACGGAAATATTCAACTCATTATTCACGTTGTTAGGCATTAGTGTTTGGCTGATTTTAATATTGACTGTTATTTAACCCAATCGGGTTTTAAATTCTGAAAAAGTAAGGTTAACCGATGTCAGAGTTGTTTACTTATTCGAGGGGCGACTATAATGATCTTTAAAATCGGGAGAAAGTAAGGTTATGATAAATTTTGTTATCAATGATAATTACTTAATTGGAGTAGAAAAAGCATAGTATTACACTCGAAATAATGCGCTTTATTTACTCGGTTGATTTACGTCTCTCGCCTGATGGCCCGAGACGCAAACCTCATCCTTGTGAATAATAGCCTGCATTATCTCTGGTATAATAATATACTATTTTTGTGCTAAGCCAAAATATGTTAACCTTTATTACTTTTTTAAAATAATCTTGGTTGATATATTTTTTTGTTATTTACAGTGTAGAAGAAGTTGTTCAGCTGACGGGTTCAGTAACACTTTTCCTAAAAAAAGTTCAATTTCACCAACTAATCAAGCTCCCCCTAACGGTGAAGAAATGAAAATCGTTAAGGCAGCTAAAGAACAATTTGAAAGGAGGGGTGGTTTTGTTAGAATTTTCCCTGCCATTGACAGCTGGGACAAATATTCGAAATATTTAGGTAAGCAAAGCATAATTTATTATTTCAAGTAATAATGTGGTTTTTTCTTTTACAGACACCAGCACTGGCATACCGCTAACAATTCAAAGTTCAAGTGTCTATAGTTTGACCGTTAATCACAACTACAATTTACTGTTGTTCACCCAATTGTTCCCGAACGTTTTTATTTCAGTGAACACCAAAATGCAAGACAAAATTTTGAAACGTTCAAGATTCGGCCTAAATACTAAGCGGGAGATGTCTTTGGATAGATTAGGTAAGTTTAAAACTAAAAACATTGAAAATCCAAGTAGGTAATTAATATTTTCATTTTAGCTGTTGATAAATCGGTAAACGGTCGACAAGACCGATACGAACGGACCTTAAGTCAAGGCCACAAATCGATTTTGCACCCGAGAAAAATTGTCAAAGAACCTGAATCGATTGAACTGAGGAAAAAGATTGTGGACCTTCTGCAGAGCGGGAAAAAAATTTCGTAAGTGGCCTTATCAAACATGTTGGGTCATTGGGTGAGATAAAACATATTCATGGTAAATAGATGTTTGTTTTAGGCAATTTGAGTCGAGGAAAACGTTCTCTCATTACCTTGTTTTTGTGCTGAAAAGGATTGTGGCCGGTCCCAACCAGGAAGATCACATCGACATTGTCATTAAGTTCTTACAGAAGGCTTCAAATTATGTTAGAACGCCTTTTTCTGTCAAGGTAATGTTTGTATTTTTTAATGTGTGAAATATTTCATTGTTATTTTTAGATGCCATGCAACAAATTGGATTTTAAAGACAGAACAGCAATAACTGCCAAGCAATTAAACGACTTTTTATATTTGTACAATAGGGAAACTGATTTGTTTGTTGACAAGAAAGAAAAACCAAATCAAATACCTTCTAGTCTTTATAGTGAATTTTTGGAACATGCCAGGTTAGTACATCCTTTTAAAACAGATTTATTATCTTTTTTATTTCCAAGGTTTTTATTTTATTTTATTTGTGTTTATTTTTAATTTTGTTTATTTAATTTACTTAAATAGTTCATTTTATTCCTATTCAGTAGTGACAACACATATGTTTATTTAATATGTTTTAAAAAAATCAAAATCAAAAAATGTTAAGAGGACTTTTTAAATTTCCATACTTATACAAAATGTCAAGAAATATAATTAAAACATTTTTTTTCTTTTCATCTTAATATATTCTAAATTTAAAATTATAAATTCCTTGAGTGACCTCTACAAATTAATATAATATTAACTTTAAATTTTTAGAATACTTATAAATTTGAATGTAGAAAATAATAATAAAAGAAAGAAATTTTTAAAAATCTTCAGTGTAATTTTGAGTATACAGGGTGCACCAAGTATCATTCTATGTATGGGTATTTTTTTTTATTGAAAGAGCTACAAGGTCGGTTAATGGCATTTAAAAATTGGAAAAAAATAGCGGTTCTTTAATAATTTAAAAAAACTGAAAACCTGTAAAAACCAAAAACTGTTATAACATAATTTTTCCTGTGAATTTAGAAAAAAAGCAAGTTAATGTAAACATAACAATTTATTTACATTTATCCGAAATCGGCAGTAAAGTAGTCAACAATCGGCAGTAAAGTAAAAGAAATCGGCAGTAAAGTAGAACTTTACTGCCGATTTAATACGAGTATTGTATGCAACCCATTATACATTTTAAGATGTGTCTACTGCTCCTCAGCAGCAACTAAATAATATTTAAAAAAAAGCACCGTCGCGGAGGTCGATTGGACTCTTTCATAAAATGTTGTTTAATAAAAATAATAAGTTAATTTTATTAATTAGATTAAAAAATCGCCGCGGCGAGCAAATTCATAACCGTCGCAACAAACAGTATACGTATACGACACTTCCTACATTCAAATGACATTTGATTTGATCATTAATTGACATTTGATTTAATCATCAATATTAATTATTAGTATTATTAAATGTGATTTCGGATAAAATTTAATATGCACCTCTGCATTAAAGTAATTTTTTATGACTCACGTGGTTATTTGCTTCGGCTTTCGCCTCGGCAAATAATTTCCACACTAGTGTTAAAAATACGACTTTACTGCCTTGATACATAAATAACTATTTTTCAATATTTCCCGTTTATTTTTTAACCTTTAAATCTGTAATAGTTTTTTATTTATTTGTTATCATTGCAACTGTCTTTCAAACTGGTTTAAGTATTTAGATCTTAAATCAATTTGATATTTTTTTCAGAGAATGTGATTTGGAAGAAGTACTTATGTACCAAACAACTCAAACAGTGCCAACGTACGGAGTAAAACCTGGCCTGCCCAGCGTGTTGAAAACGATGCCCAACAAGCCGATGGGCCCAAAACTGAGCGGTAACAAGAGTGCAGGCAAGGGCAGGGGCTCCAGGGTTTCGCCGTTATTATGATCTCTAGCTTTGACCGGTTCAAAGTTTGCCACCCACTTAGAGGCTTTGACCTCCAAATAGTTAATCATTTTTTTCCTTCTTCTTGTTTGTGATATTTTTATACAATTTGGCCACCAGAGTTTTATCAGTCTTTTTTTTACTTAAATAAATGAAAAAATATTTTTATAGTTTTATGTTTATTATTATTTTTTGTTGTTTTTCGAATTTCAATGGTTATGGTTTTTTGTAATTAATTTAATTAAGTCGTGTAGAATCAAAAGCGTCACATATAATTCTTATCAGTTTCTCTACCATTCTACAGGGATATTCGGTCGCTAAATCTGCATATTGTGTTAAAACTGCATAAGAAAATCTTTAGTTTCAAAACCGGTCAAGTCCAGGTTTAGGTACTATTAAAAAATTGTCATTTTTTCTACATGCAGTTTTTTGCATTTTTTCCTTTTGATTTTACATGACATCTAAGTATTAAGACATCAATTGTGATAGCTAACACAACCATTTGTTTTGCTCAATTTTTTTTTGTTTTTTTTATAGACCAAAGTTTATTTTTTGTTTATAAGTTTCATGCAATTATTTTATTTTTTGTTATTTTACAAATATAAATATTTTAATTATAGGTTTTTACTAATGTATGGCTTAATGTTTTGCTACTGTGGTAAATTGCGTGATTGAAAAATGGAGGCTTCTAACTTTTTACAATGTTATTGATATTCTGTCGTTTTATTTTGGCAATTAATTTTGATATTGTGTTTAAGAAACTATTTTTAGAGTTGAAACTTTTATGTAATTGCCAAATTATACAATTTAAAAAATCATCGACAACAGTAATTAATATTGTATTGTTGTTTCATGTGTGTAAATAGCCATGCTGCCAAAATTTGTGCAAAAGAAGATAAACCAAAAACTACCTACACTCAAGTTTTTGGATTTTCTTTTAGCATTCTACTATTGAAAACAATACTAATTCTTATTTTTATTCTGTATTATTTAACAGTAGAATGTCCATTAAATTTTCGTACTTTTTAGTTTCAACCTTAGATTAAAGATGAGGCTTGTCCTAAGATAGGAAAAAGTGATTTATGCTGTCTTAAAAGTATAGATATAAAATATATTTTACTAGATTTCCTTTAATCTAAGGATTTACTAATAATAGTCTCACTTATAGCACATTTTTACACAACTTGTGATATTTACGGCTTAAGCTATTTTTCAATACTAAAAATAAGGCAAAGTAGATGTGCTAAGCAATAAGTCTTATGACAGTACATATACATGTTTGCCTAAATAAAATTGTGTTTTAAGCTTATTACTTGTCATAAAGCTGAGCCAAGCATACGTAATTTTATTTTTTGATAAACAAATCATCACATTCCGTACCTAAAGAAGAGTTACCTTTTATTTTATATTTTACATTAAAACTGATTTAAAAAAAGCAGAGTTCAACCAAAAAGCCAAAGTTTTATATTAAAAATCTGTTTTGATGTAATATTTGCTAAAGATAAAACAATGTTACTAATTATTACAAGTAAGAATGTTAACCTTTAACTTAGTTACCAATAATAAGGCTTTAGTTCATTCTGAAACATAAATGCATTGTTCAATTTACCTAATTAATATCCTGCTATATTTTTATTTTGATATTATATTCAAACACAAATTTTCACTTGGCACAATTAAATCAGATACTTAAGAAATATTTTTAACATTGAACAATATTTTGATAAACATTTACATCCAAAGATTGTTCTTTGTATATTTTAGTTTTTGTGGTGATGCAGTAGCATGTAAAATAAATTTTGAGAGTATTTTTAACTCAAATGGTGTTTCATTTAAAAAAATTCCTATTTTAATATTATACATTTAATTTACAAAATTCTGTACATATGGAGGAATATTTAGGCTTACAATAAAATAAAATAAATAAATACAAACTACAAATTTCTAACAAATGGATTGCTGTTTTCATCAAAGTTTGGATCATTTTCAGTTGAATATCTGCCCAGTTTTGACATAGTGTAAAAGAAAAATACAATACCTAAAATTATTAATGTCCCTAACATACAGTACCTCCTGTATATTGACCGACCCCCTCTTGATTTAAGAGATGATCCAAATGTAATTCTAAAAAATATAATTATACACATGAAAACTTCCTAAAAACAAACACTTACTTCCACCAAGTGCCTATTAGCTCAGAAACAGGTCTCCTTTTGTATTTGTCATCGTCATGATCAACAATAACTTGTTTAATGTCTCTTATATCTTGAAAAACTCTCCTATTAGATGAACCTTGGTAGGTTCCATCTGTAATTGACGCCCGGTTAAATGTTCGCCCCTGATCATCAACATTTACCACTGAATGAGGTGGACTGGGTGTCATTCGAGGACTCGGCAGTGCTGAATTTGAAGCATGGTTTGCTATGGCTTTAACCTCCCTTTCTTCAGAAAGCTAAAAATATTTATTATCAAGCCCTATCTTCTAGATCCTTGGTTCAATATGTTTAAGCAATGTGCAGCAAAAAATAGACAAAGCAAAAGTGAAAAAACTATGATAAAAGTTTGTTGTTTGGATTGGTAAGTAAATCTAAACAAAAATTTTAAAAAATATATATAAAAATAAAAAAATCACTATTTACTTTACAATTTTCTCTGAATATTAATTTTAAACCAAAAAACCCACTAACTAAAACTAAAAAAATAATTAAAATTGACCTAATATCTATCCTAATACAAAATGACAATATTTTATAAATTTTAAAAAATTAAAGTTTTAAACCCAGTGTGTAAGGATAACTTACCAATGGTAATCCTAGGCCTGCCCTAGCCCAGTTCACACCAGCCAATTTTTCTTTGAGAACATCCGCAACAGGGCTTATTAAATTTGTAGGTGGGAAAAGGGGGTTTTTACATGAAGGACATGTGTAACCCCTTGGGGCTGTCGTAGCTGGTATTTGTCTTGAAAAGTGGTCCAAGCAGGACCAGTGAAACACATCTAAAATCATTAATGGATTATTTAAAGTTTTTATATTAACCATCACAATTTAAAATGAAATATATTGCCTATAAAAAAATGGAACAATTTTGTGGTCAAACGTAATTTTTATTGCTTAGTTTAACTATTTATTTTAACTTACGATAACAAGTTAGTCTGATACTGTCCTCTACATTAAGATCTTTGCTACAAAGTTCACAAATTGAATTGTAATCACTATCTTGCAGCCATTGCAAATAAGATTGGACTATACACTACAACAATATTAAATTTACAATAAAATCACGTAATTTAAACTATGTTACTTACAATTGGGTGATTTGTTACCATACAGTTCTCACAAACACAAACTCTATGTTCAAAACAAAATTGGTTCGTTACTCTTCGTTTTGGACACTTGCAAAGACCCATGTTGTTTCAATTTTCTTCAATTTGTTTATAGAATCGAGCATACGCTTAAAACTTTACGTATTTACATAAAAACCAGAAAAAAATTTACGGCCACGTAAATGACAGCTTTATGACAAGTTTGACATATTTACAAACTTTGCCAACATAAAGAAAACTAAAGTTACTAGATGAGTTATGTCTTTTAAAGATGTCTTTGTTCCAACTTGGAACTTCTAATGTCCTGGAGTTTGTACTATAACTTATAGTCTATAAGATCCTAATTTAGAACACAAAAAAATATATATTGTATTATTTTTAAAAAATAAGACTAAATTGACAGACATTGACAGAAAATTAACCTTAATTATTCCTATTAATGTCACATGGTGGGACTTTGATGTGACTTATCGATAGTTTTTTTTTTAATTTTTCGTTTATAAACTTGCTTTAAAAAAAATACATAAAAAAAACGTATCAGTTTTTCGGAAAGTACGACTTTAATTTATTCTACTTTAATTCTATGGTGGGCCAACTTTTATTTTAATTGTTTCGAAATCGAGCTTTGTTTTTATAATAAAATAAATCTAAATAAATATACCTAATAAGAAAGAAAAGTTTGTCCAATATATTGGACAAACTTTTCCATATATGGAATGTGTTCAATTAAACGCAAAATAAATGATAGTTTTGAGTATGAGTATGTGTATACATACTATATATAGAAGACGTATAACCGGCCCCCTTGCCTCATTGCTCCCGGGCTCCGCAAAGGCCTCTGTTTCCTTACGCCGATTTTCTTTCGCCACCATTAACGGCACGGCTTCACCCGTGTTTGCTGGGTGCGAATGTCCATTGCGTCTCGTACTGTCCCCTATAAATATATTTAGGGCTCGAGAGAGAAATGCTAATAGCCTTTCCCGGATTCGCCGGGCCGTTGCTATACGGCCAGTAGGGTCATAAAGGAGTCGATTCAAATCTATGTACGACCTTAGACCTTATAACTATAGTATTACTCCAAACATTTGGGATTACTATTTTGAGTTGGGGAGTTGTTATTTTGCTGCAGGGGCCTACGTCTTGGTCTATGTTTTGGTCGTTATTGTTCGTGTCAGTGTTCAAGTCGGATTTTTCCTGCACATGTGTCGCCGGGTCGGGTCGTGTTTGCTGAAAATTAACATGCTGAAAATTCGTACGTTAATTGTAAAGTTGGGGATGGTCAATTGATTGTCAATTGACCGCTACCTATTTGACCGGTCAATTGACCGGTCAAAATCTATTTAATTTTTGCAGCATTTTATTTAGGTATCAACAATTACCCGTGAATCTCAAAATTTTTGCGATCGTGCAATATCGACATCATTTACAATTTGGTGGTTGCTAGGCCGGACTCGGCGCTTTGCCCTTAAAGCTGGACATATCTTTTTTAATCGCGAAACATAACTTTTTAAAGCCGCACAAACGTTTCTAAAGATGGACATAACTTTTATAATAAAAAAAAATTTGGTAACGTATTTTAATTAGGGTGAAGTGGGGTAAATGCACCCACCCAAGTGCAAAATACAAATTGAATAGTTAATAGTTAATAAAATTATCTAGAACAATGGTAAGAGTCTTTGGCATATAAACAACTCCCTTAGTGGTGTATCTCATGGCAGATCTTAACTCTGCGTTAAAGGTAATACGCCACCACAGCTATTTTTACACATATAAACTTTCAAAATAAATATCTAGTAGCTTTACACATACCTTAGCTCCAGTAATAAATGTTTTTTTTCACAGAACTGCGCATTTAACACGCGAGTAAAAACGACAACACTCAATAAAGTCGCCATTCTTTGTTAACCAATTTGATTTCGTTCGAAGGGATGTGTATTTTAGAGGAAAAGAGTCATGCTCTCGCATTTACCAGAGGGTGCCACCGCAGGTTGAATAGTTTTTTTTTAAACCCAATTGGTGCACTTACCCCAAAAGCGCACTTACCCCACTTCACCCTACCTATTTATTAAGTATAAATAAATCACAGTAATATTTATTTTGATATTTTATTTAATTTTATTTTGGTCAATTGACCGGTCAATTGACCTAAAACAATTTGACCGGTCAATTCCACAACCCTAGTCAATTGTCTACCCCACTGTGTGAAACCATTTCTTCAGTCTTGAGGTCGAAAACTATCGAGAGATTGTTCAGTAGTTGGTCATGTAACTACCGATAGTTATCGACGGTTTTTGTTATTTTTTTAAGTGTTTATTACCGCAGTAGTGCGAAATTTTCTAATAATTATAAATTATAATTTTTAGTTATTGTGTTGCCCCAGTGGCGGCTCGTGGGTGTATAAAAGGATAAGGCTACATGATGTTAATTTTGTCTAAATACGAATAAATTTCAACGTCACCCGTGAGGTATTATTCTGCGATGCGTTGACCTTTTTTAAAATGGCCTATAGCCCTACTATGGTATAAATCATTATAAATGTAAAAAAAAAATAAAAAAAAAATAAAACAAAGAAAACTTTAAAATGTATACCTGGAACTTAAAATAGTATATTATGTATCAAGTTTGATAAACGCCATTTTATACACGAATTTAATTTAGGCACGAGCGAGCTTGCGAGCGAGTGCTTAAGTTAATGAGTGTATAGAAAAGTTTATAAACGAGGTGTATACTATACTTTTTCTACGACAAATACTTATTATTATCTTAAAATGATTTAAATCAAAAATTTGTATAGAGTGCCATCTATGAAACAACAGGGGAAACTGTCAAATGTCACATTTTTACATTTTATAAACACAATTATAAAGGTTATAAATCGAAGTGTATCTTGAAAATTGACAGTTTTTCACAGTGAAAGTAAAGGAAATGTTTTATGAGGACTTTACAATTTAAGTTATAGTTTACTGCCGGAGAAATTAAAAGGTCAGTACAATGTTCATATAAACTTTTCAAATATTGGCGTTGAGAAACTATTGAACATTTTTGTATTTTTGTATTGAGATAATAAAATAATGTTCACATTTAGTATTATTTTACAAGAAAAGCACTTTATTTTAACGATTGTATGACATTTGACAACTGTCAACTAACTTAAAACTAACTTCAGCCCGTGACTAAAGCGCCGTAAAGCCACAATGTTGTCAATGTTTATTTAAAAGGTCACTTAGTGTCATGGAAACATGTACGATAATGGTCGTTTTAAAGGTGCACCTGGGAGTAGAAAAATATATTTATATGGATAGATAAAAATATATATGTATATAAAACAAATAAAATATCAGAGAATTTGGAATACCCACCCCCTGAACTTCAATTGTTTTTGACGCGGCCTAATAAAAAACAATGCCAACAGAATAAGCTTTGTTTATAAATACTTCCGCATAGCAACTATAAGTTTCGTATAGGTACCTATAGGTACCTACTATAGGTATACCAGGGGCGGCTAGTGCATAAGGGCTGCAGAGCCTCAGAACTCCCAAAATTTTCTTATTACTTGACTAATTTTTTAATTATTTAATATTTAAGTGCGACAGTGTATGAATATTTCAAACGCATGGCTGCATAAAAAGTTTTTATTATAAACATTCGCCGTACTTGGCCACTACAGTCATCCAAACGACCGGTAAAGGTCTCTAACGCTGAACGCTTACAATACCACAAAGCTGGGCCACTTTCGAGTTCTGGCTCCCATTTCAATACCGTAATTTTGCTCCGCGCCGCTCTTGGTCCTAGGTTAAGATAGTGAAATTTAAGCCAAATCGGAGCTGCACCAACATACAGTTCCTACTTCCCGGTCGTTTGTTTTTCGCTTCGCGTTCACGTTTGTTATTTTAACTAGAAGACTGTTAATTCGGTGTATTTTTGTGTTTGTTGTTGTATTCTTTTGTAAGAATGAATGTGGTGTATGGTTTAATTATGATTTAATTAATTAACTGTAGGTACCATTTAATTAAATGCCCACTGCGCCACATTTTTTTAAACCCCACTGGCAGAACTCACAAATTTTACTGCCACGAGCCGCCACTGGTACCTACCAAGATATTTGAAAAGTTGGTGAATATTGCTTACCCTGCCTCTTATCGTTAAATATTGATGAAATTAATGTCATAAACAGGATTCATTAAAAAAAAAACAGAGTGATTTATCTAAAGAAAACTTACCGGTATTTTGAAAACCTAACCTTAATTGAAACTCAATACGACTTGTGGCTTAATAAAACTGCTAACTCTACCTGTGTAGCGTGGTCAATTTGGCGTTAAATGCCCCATATAGGTATTAAAGTTTTATAAAATATTTGGGTTAGTTTTTATTGTGCAGGAAGACAATTATATAACTTATATTAAAAGCTATATATTTAATTTTAAATTTGATTAAGATTCTCCACCAGGGCGAAAGTTTTGCCTGGCAGTGTGGCGCCCTGATTCCCCCTGAGTACGGCCCTGCTATCAATATTACCATAAATGTCATATTTTTAATAATTTTAAGCCCGGCGCATTCGCCATTTTTGCAAACAAAATAAAAATCGTTAACATCATAATTTCTACGATTTTTATTTTGTATGAAAAAAATGGCGAATGCACCGGGCTTAAAATTATTAAAAATATGACATTTACGGTAATAATTAGTTATGGTAATAATTATTAATTGATTATTGTTTATTATTATTTATGGTAATAACTATTAACTATGGTTTCGCGTAAAAATCGAACAAATTTTGGACATTTGTTTGCAGGTGATGCAGGGGCGTAACTAGGCATGTGGGGGCCCCGGGGCAAGGACGCGAATTGGGGCCCATAATAAAATTGAAAAAAAACTGTTTAAAATGACATAATACCATGTTTTTTTCTTTATTTTAATCTTTTTTTAACAAAATAATGAGTAAAATTGTGTACAGGTAATAAAAGGTATTTTTTTAAACTTCATGGGTTTACATCATCTAAAATTGTTTTCAGGCGCGTGAAACGCACGAATTACAAAACTGTTTTTATAAAAAAAATTGTAGATAATTTTTTATATAATATTTTGGCATCAACATTGTCAAAAAATATTCTTCTTTTATTAAGCTATACATTATATAAAAAAAACGCAAGAAATATGTTATAAAAGTAGAGATAATTTTAATAATTAAAAGGTGTGGACGGGACAAAAAAAGATTTCTCTTGTCTCGTCCAGACCTGTCAATTATTAAAGTTATCTCTACTTTTATAAAATATTTCTTGCGTTTTTTTAAATTTAATGTTTAGCTTAATATATAAGAGAAGAATATTTTTGACAATTTTGGTGCCAAAATATTATATAATAAATCACCTACAATTTTTTTTATAAAAACAGTTTTGTGATTTGTTCCGTCCGCATGCCTGAAATGGCCCTAATCACTGATGGCTAATAACTATAGAATACTTTTTTATTTAAGAAATCAAGATTATGAATAATATAATGGATTTTTTCTGCTGCCTGAGGATTTTATTTTTTGCTGTAAGACATTTAATTTTTTTTACGTTTTGGGGGCCCCTACCCCAGGGGCCCTGGGGCGGTGCCCCGGCTGCCCCAGCCTAGTTACGCCCCTGAAGTGATTAAATTTCATCCATTGAGCGCTGTGGTTAACAGGCCTTAAGTTACTCTACTGTGTTAAAAATAGATAAATTTCGATATTTTAGAATAACATTTTTATTTAAAAACGTATCGATTTGAAATTAAGATAAAATGTAGACCTAATAAATGACAATCCATTTATTATTTTTTTTAGATTCTAAGTTACAGGGGGCGCTGGGGACAATTTAATTTAAAATTTTACCATTTTTAAGTGTTAAAAATCGAAGAAGCCACGTTGTTTTATAATTTTGAGTATATCACGGTAAAGTACTGATAATTAACTATTATTTGATACATAAACTTCTATATGCAAATTATGCTTCTACGAGAGACATCATTTTTAAGTTAGGCCTTCAAAGAGCATAATACTAACGTATTTTACAAAGTATATTTTGTTTTATCTAGTTTTATAAGATAATGTATTTTATATTACATATTATACATTATATATTACATATAATATATTATATATAACATACAATTCTTACTCTCTAAAAGTGAAACAGTGAAATTTTCACTATTTCCGTCAGTGAGTTATTATTCACTGTAAAATTAGTGTTTTTCAATATAAATTAGTGAAATTTTAACTTTTCCAAATTAGTGTTTTTTATTATCACTACTTTTCCGGAAATCTCGATATAAAATAGTGAAATTTTAACTTTTTTGAACTAAACCTATTTCACTAATTTATACAGTGTAATTTCCACTAAATAAATTAGTGCAAAGAAATCGCTACATGAAAAAGTGGTATACTTATCACTGCGGCAAATAGTTAATATGCACTGTCAATCAGTGAAAATCCACTGTTTCATTTTTAGAGAGTACATATTTATTTAAAAAAATCGCCAAAGATGGAGCTAAAATTACTTTTATTTATAAATTTTTTTTTTAAGTTTACTAATTTTGATTATAGTAGGCATCATAGACTTTTTTCTCTATGGTAACCTACCATTGGAAGCATGAAAGATAATTTATAAAATGAATAAACTAAATAATATTTATACAGTGACTTTAAAATTTAAAGGAAAAGTTACAGAATAGACCAGTTAGAAATTATAACCTACTTTAATTTTATTTTTTGCTTCACAACCATGCTTCAATTTATTTTTTACTCGATAAGCAAGCTTCAATTTTAATTCCAAACTAAGGAAAGTAATATTTACCCAATAAATAAATTAGAATAAAGACTTTATTTTTTATGTTGCGATCGGCTATTTATAAAATCTATAGATATATGTATATTTTTTAATCAGTTGTTTTTCGCTTTTTTGTAATTAGTTATTTTGCATTTTTTATATTTAATATAATGCTGAAGGACCTCGGTCAATGGCCATTTGTAAGAAATTGTATTAACTTTTTTTTGCAATAAAGTTCATTTATTATTATTATTATTATAATGCTATACAGGATGTTTCGCAAACGATATGGATTTGAAATTTTAATAGCGTATTATACCACGTTTATATAGGAAAAGATGGCAGGAATTGCATTGAGACCATCGATATTTAGAAAAGTATGTATATCTAAGACACAAAATTAGCATCCTGGGGTCCTTCTGGGGGGACCATCATCGGTTTGTTTTGAGCAAAAGAAAAAAGTCATTATTTGCAAAACCGTAGGTACTTCCTTTGATATTAATAAACATGGAATTTTCATGATGAAAAAAAGGTATTTTCAGAAGTAAAATAAACATAAAATGTATAAAAATATTTATTAAATAATAATCACTATTTTACAGTCAAAGATTAACTCAATTAATGACACACATTCACAATTTTCTTTGCCATTCACTAAAACAATTAAATTATTACCCAAAACTTACTTTAAGCAGGAAGTAGACTTGAAACCACCTTTGCTATGTTTTCCCTGCTCACAGGACATTTCGCGTATAAGGAGCCACACTTTTCTGCATCTCCAGATTTACCCATATCTATGGCTTGTTTTATCGTTGATCCATCCAACATATAACCGAACAAAGAATTACTAAAAAAAATTAAAAAAGTATAGTAAGGATCTTCAAAAAATTGTGTCGTCAATTTTCTCACTTTGTAAGACCATAGATAAATTCGTCCATAGTGTTTGATTCTCCAGTTTTTATATTTTTCTGCGCTTCATTTACATAGCTACAAACAATTCTTTGCATACAGGAACTGCTGTCGATATTGTGCTGCTCTAATGCGTTGTCTACTTTTGCCATAATATCTGATAAAGATGTCATTTCATTTTCCAAGCCTTGAAAAAGAAAGGATTTTGAAATAAGTTTTGTGCGGTAAATAAATTGAGATGTGTTTTGCATATGGGGCAATATTTGCCAAGTGTACCAGGTGAAAAAATTTTTGTCACCGATTTTGTTTAAACTTTACTTATTTGTTGTTCTTATAACGAAGAATCATAGAATAAAATTTTTTTGCTCTAGGATTGTTTATTCAAGAGTTATGGTTTATTGAAATTTATCGATTTTTTACTTTTCGGTGAAATCGCTTTTTATTTAAAAATTCATAACTTCTGTTCATCTCTTTATTAAATATTTCAATTTAACCACCTTAAATGATTTTTTCTGTACTCTTTAATGGGCTATACTGTTTTTGCAAACATAAAATTTTGCAAAAATTTGGATTTTTTTATTTTTTTTAAAATAGCATAAAATCGAAGTTTATTTTGTTACCTTTGAATAAAAAAAAAATTTAGAGTGGGCCCGACTTGTAGAAGGGAAGTTTTTCATATTTGAATGCGTGAGGGTCTAGCCATCGAATAGCTACTACACTGCCGTATGCGTTTATACCTAGTAGATGCGAGTAAACGAATACAAATAGGCGCTATTCAGCTGTTAGGCAAGCCGTTACGGTTATAACAATAAATTTTTTATTTAATATCATCGATCCTCCTTGCGAAATCTATGTAGACCCATGCTTAAACAATTTGTGCAAAAAAATACAGTTAAAAAAATCATTGACTACTCAAACGTAATTTTACATTTTAAATTATCATTTTGTATTCGTTTACTCGCATCTACTAGGTATAAACGTATACGGCAGGGTAGTAGCTATTCGATGGCTAGACCCGCACGCATTCAAATATGAAAAACTTCCCTTCTACATGTCGGGCCCACTTTTTTTTATTTAAAGGTAACATAATAAACTTCAATTTTATGCTATTTTAAAAAAAATTAAAAAAACAAACTGTTTCAAAAAATGCAAAATTTCAAAAAAAATTGCAATTTTTTTTTTGCAAAAACGGTATAGCCCATTGAAAAGTACAGAAAAAATCATTTAAGGTGGTTAAATTGAAATATGTAATAAAGGGATGAACAGAAGTTATGAATTTTTAAATAAAAAGCGATTTCACCAAAAAGTAAAAAATCGATAAATTTCAATAATCCATAACTCTTGAATGAACAATCCTAGGGCAAAAAAATGTTATGCCATGATTCTTTGTTATAAGAACAACAAATAAATAAAGTTTAAACAAAATCGGTGACAAAATTTTTTTTCACCTGGTACACTTGGCAAATTTTGCCCCATATCTGGGGTGATAAGGTAAGTCTGCATACTTCTATACCCGTATCCTCCGGAAAATATATGGGCCAATTTGGGAAGGATTAGTACAGCGCCCAGTCCAATTAGGGCGCCCAATGCCACGCCGCCGATGTCGATTTTCATTGGGTTCACCATGTAGCTCACTCCGTTGGTGTTGGTACTGCCGTAATTAACTCCGGTTCCAGTGTTGCCGTACGCGATGGGAATGCCGAAACGAAGCTTGTCGCTACTTTTCGATGTGTCTATGCGTGAGTTGGTGCTGTTTTGATTTTGAGGCAAATTCGATTCGTAATAACGATTTAAGGCGGAATATTCACTGAAAAATTATTGTTATAAAAATATTTTATTATAGGTATATATTAAAATTGCTTATTTTTAATGATTAAAAATAATAGTGTCACAAATTAAGAAGAAGGATATATATAAAATGGGAGACCAGAATTCCTAACTTTTCACCAGCGGAAAAAGACAATCTAATGATGATTGTTATGAGGTATTCTAAAATATTGGAGGACAAAAAAAACTAACAGAACTGGGCTTCAATATTCAATTTCATTAAGAAAGTTTAGAACGGTGGGTCAATCGAAATCGACGAAAAAACGAAAAATTGTCCATGGTGTCAAAATATTCGCTCCTTTAATAATTTCGTCGCGGAAATCCAAAATTAATTATGTCCAGAATATCTTGATCATCTTCTACAAATAGTTCTTCTTCTAAATCCATTATTTAATTATATTTTTTACTATTTCTACTTTTACTAGTTTTTGAAATCTACTTTTGGAACTATAAATTTGGTTAGAAAATCAGTTAATCCTGCGATTAAACCTACCTCGCCGATGGATCTCGCAATCGAACACTTAAACTACATTTTTCGCGCGGTGCATGATACATTTTCGAACTAAGCGAGATTAAACTCCTAATCGAGATTAAGTCCATACGGTGCATACGGGCATAAGAGCAGGCAATTGGAAAAATTAATTAATTAATTTATTTAATGAAATTGAAATATCTCGCTTTGAAGCTCGTTCTTGAAAAAAATAGTTTTTGTTTTATGCTTGGAATTCAATTTTACATTTTACGTCATTTTATTTTTGTTTCCTATAGGGTGTTTGGTAACTATAGTTACCAAACACCCTTTATACAAACTTGTAATTTTAAATACACATTGACAAGCTGTGGCTTTATGGCGATTTAGTCACGGCCTGAAGTTAGCAACAGGTTTTTAGTCACGGGCTAAAGTTAGTTTTAAGTTAGTTGACAGTTGTCAAATGTCAATGACATTATGTCATACAATCGTTAAAATAAAGTGCCGTTCTTGTAAAATAATACTCAATGTGAACATTATTTTTAATCTGAAAACAAAAATACAAAAGTATTAAATAGTTTCTTGACGCAAATATTTGAAAAGATTATACGAACGTTTGTACTGACCTTTTGATTTCGCCGTAGTAGTGCAGTTAACTAGATTTAATTGATAAAGAGTTAAAAATTTTGCGTACAGTTCCCATAAAACATCCTCTTTTCTTAAGGGAAACATTTTGATTTACACAGAAAAATGTGAGATTTGAACGCCGGTATATTCCCAAGTTTTGTTCCCAAGTTAGAAATTCTAACGGGAATTCCAATAAATACAACTCTACCTTTAACATTTTCCGTGTAAGAATTTTTAGTACTTTGTAATAATATTTTGCAATTATAGTAGTAAAAAAATCAATTTTAAAATTATTTTAATATTTTAAAGTATTAATAGTTTTTAGGTTTAATTAAAATAATAACGGACAATGTTAATGGTTAAAATTACGTCAAAAATGTTTATTGGTATGGTTACTTTATTTTCGTATAGATTTCGCTTTATACAAATATTAAATAATTTTTTAGATAATATTAAGTATTTGTTGTAGACAAACTTTTCTAGGCTCTCATTTAATTAAGCACTCACTCGCAAGCTCGATCGTGCCTAAATTAAATTCTTTTCTCAAACTTGATACATAATATATTATTATTTTAATTTTATTTCTTCAAACTGTTGTATGAATGTGTATATTTCATTTTTTTAGTATAATTAGGGATCATATCTACAGTACCGATCATTTTGTTCATCAAATATATTTGATGAAGTATACTTTATATATATATATAGTATACCTATACGAATTTGTATGTTTTTCCATATCGCAAAAACAAGAGCTAATTAAGCAAAATGATTAAGAACAAAAAATGTAATTCTTAGAAATTTACCTAAATATTTTTTTTAACAAAATTTAACTAAAAAATAAAAGGGTTACCCTATGGTTACATTACATTACCTTTCTTCTCCTGAGTACTTTTTCGGCGATCCCTCGGCACCCAAAACAAAAATCGCAAAAACAAAAACATAGCAAACCGAAAAGTTCTTCATATTGTAGATGTGCATTTTCATAACTGAATCACCTTTGTCAAAGCAAAATGCATTTATATAAATATATTGATACAGTTCCGTGCTCTAAGACAATAGACAATGTGAAGTTGCAAAACATTTAAATAATCTTCACTTTCTTATAAACAAAATGTTTCGGTGTCTAGCCACGTGCGCTATTAAAATAATTAATATATTATGTCAACTTACTGTCGTGTGGAAAATTCGAGGCTTTGTGTTTGTCTGTTAAAGGAAGTATTTTGCGAAAGTTTTCATTTAATTTAATGAACCTCAAGATGTACCTAGGTAAAATTTTAGAATCAAAATTTAAGTTTTAATAATAAATATTTAAATATCATAGTAATTTAGGTAATATCATGGTAATTAGGTAAATAATCATTAGTATATTTAAATTTTTATCCTTAAAAATTATAATATGCTTGGCACAGCAGCCGGGCTATTATGAATTTAACTTACTAAGATCTTATACAGGGTGTCTGTTAAAAAACGAGCAATGCTCTATAAGTCTGGACCTAAAAAAGATAAAATTTCTTAAATAGAATCGATTTATTCGTAAGTAATATCATAAGGGCATCTAATTTTTCCGAAAAAAATCGAAAAAACACGTTGCTAAGTAATATTTTAACAAGAAGCATGAGTGCTGGTGACAACAAAAAACCAAGTCGAAGACGAGGATTTTTGCACCTGCACGAATGCTTTTTGTTAAAAAATATTACTTGGCATTGTGTTTTTTCGTTTTTTTACAGGAAAAATTAGATGCCCGAATGGTATTTGACAAGACTATTTCATGAGTAACAGCTATTTTAGATACACATAGCTTTCAAAACATACTATCTATTATACATGCAAACATAATAAATATGTAGGTATTAATTTGAAAACTGAAAAATAGGTAATTTATTTAATCAAAAAATACTACAAACTTAATTATTTATGGTAGGTACAATTAAAATATAAATTGCAATTTTGATGACAACAGCTGTCAAGTTTTGCCGCGGGTAAACTCAAAAAAACTGCTGACAGGTGCTGTCATTCAGTTTTTCACCTAGAAACCATTTGTAATTCAAAATTGCGCGTTTGTGATTGGTGGGAATTAAGACGAGGGAAATAGTCACCTAAATAGTAGTTTTATCGCTGCAAAACTGAAAAAACACTCGTTTTCTGAAATCTGATTGGTCCATAAAGTAATGAGTGGAATAGTCGAAGCTAAAAATTCTTCATTCGTTAGTTAAATATACTTCATTCGTAAGTCGACACGGTTGTTACACAAATAGTATTTTGACATCACGCTATAGCGTACTGAGAGAATTTATAAATAGATTTTTAAAGTTATTTTTAACGAAAAATTGTTTTTTTAAGGGTATGGTTGCTTTAAGTGACTAATTTTTGTAATAGATATAAGCGGTTTCAATACCCATTTTTAACTTGATTGTACATGAAGTAAAAATAATCCCGCTATCAATAAATTTGCTATTTTTTAAAAACATAAATTTGTGAATTTTACAGAAACATATTTAGAGCTCTTAAATTCTATATTCCATAATAATAGTATTTATGTATAAAGGTGATAAACGCCATTTTAGTCACGAATTTAATTTGGGCACGTGCGAGCTTGCAAGCGAGTGCTTAATTAAATGAGTGTCTAGACAAGTTTACAAACTAATTTCGTATCATATTATTTTTTTTATATATATCTTATGTTAATGTTTTATTTTGTAAACATTGTCCTGTAATTGGATTTATCTGTTGGGCAATAAAGAGATTATTATTATTATTTTTATTATTAATATACTTTTTCTACGACAAATACTTAATATTATCTAAAATATGATTTAAATTTAATATTTGTATAAAGTGACATATGTCATAGACATAGATATCTATACGAAAATAAAGTAACCATCCCAATAAACATTTTTGACGTAATTTTCAACATTAACATTGGCCGTTATTATTTTAATTTGAATTTTCGAACTATTCGAAATTCTACGAATAATTCGAAAAAATCGAATAATTCAAAAAATTTCGAATAATTCAAAAAATTTCAAATAATTCTCGAATTAATGAAATATCTCTGAATTTTCAATTGCTTCCATTTAAATTCCTTTAAATCGGGTATCGAAATATTCTACTTACGAATAATATACTTTTCGTTTAAAAATCAATTACCGAGAGAAAATAATTGCTCATTTTTAATATACTTATGTTCATCTCTGTCGGTAACATAAAAAATCTAGATGGTAATATTGGCAAGAGATATTTTCTATTTGTTTTGGTCTTATTAATTATTAAATTTTGTTTGAAAAAAATCTATAAGAAAAAGGTTACTTATGTAATGTTTCAGTATCGTATTTATTATTTTTGAACAAAAATTAGTAGCAAATTTTCAAATGTTGTATTTTTCATAATACTGTATTTGTTACGAAATAATTTCTGTTATTTCATTCTCTTTCCAAAAAAAACTACTCTCTAAAAATGAATTAGTCAAAAATGACTAATTTAATAGTTATTAGTGGCTGCTTTTTTACTTGTACTCTGGTTAACCATGGAATACCATGGTATTTAAAAATTTAACAGCTAATAATTATGTAAAATTGTCCCCTGAATCCGAAAATGTCGTCAAAAGTTAAAAAAGTGAAACAGTTTTTGAGATATAGTCAATTTTCCATTTAATATGGAATTGACTATATTTTAAAAACTTCTGCACTTAATAATTTTCGACGGTATTTTCGGATTCAGGGGACAATTTTACATAAGAATTGGCTGTTAAATTTTTGGATACCATGGTATTCCATGGTTAACCATGGTACAAGTGAAAAAGTAGCCACTTATAACTATCAAATTAGTCATTTTTGACTAATTCATTTTTAGAGAGTATACTAATTGTTCTATTTGTGTAACTATATTTTATGGTTTGAATAAAATGTATATTGACTGTTAAATTCATATTTGAATATTGAACATAAGAAACCCTAAATTCAAAATACTCGAAAATTCGCTAATATAATAGTTAACGAATAAAAATTACGAATTATTCGAAAAAAATTTAAATTATTCGAAAATTTTCGAATTATTCGTGAACTTTCGAATTATTCGATTCGAGTTCCGAATCGAATATTATATTATATGTTCGATTCGGAACGAATAATTTGCACACCCCTAAAAATATGTTATCCTTTAATTTTTGTTATTACTATAATTGCAAAATATTATGACAAATATTAAAAATTCTTACACGGGAAATGTTAAGGGTACAAAAAGTTGTATTTGTATTAATACCAGTTAAAATTTCTAACTTGGAAATCTAACGGCGTTAAAATCTCAAATTGTTTTGTGTAAATCAAAATTTATCCCTTGAAAATAGACTAATAATTATTATAGTAATCGGTATAGAAGCAGTTTTACAGTAAAATAAAAGAGAATGTTTAATGGGCACTGTACGCAAAATTTTGAACGATTTATCAGTTAAATTTAGTTAACTCCACTGCTACGCGGAAATCAAAAGGTCATTACAAACGTTCATATAGGTAATCTTTTCAAATATTGGCGCCAAGAATCTATTTAATACTTCCGTTTTTTTGTATTGACATACTTAATAAAATAATTTTCACATTTAGTATTATTTTACAAGAAAGGCACTTTATTTTAACGGTTGTATGATATTTAACAACTGCCAACTAACTTAAAACTAATTTCAGCCCGTGACTAAAAACCTGTTGCTAACTTGTCAATCAAAACAATCATAAAATAATTTGGTGATATCTAAACAAAACATATATAAAATTTTAAGGATCACAACAAAAAAAATGGTCACTATCATTATAAAAAATATACCAATATATAAACAAAACAACGCACGCTAAACAGAGTGGATCGCGTATGTTTTTTGATGTTTTAAAGCTCAACCACAATTCTTACTGATCTAATTACTTTAATTGGTGTTACTTCAAATATAAGTAATTCATTACAAAACAATGCCTTTAAATTAATAGTTCGCCAAAGAACAACACAAATTTTAAAAGTTTTTTACGCTAGGCACAATAATTAAAGTAAAAAAGGTCTTTATTTACACTGGTGCGCTTTCCCTATTGTTTTCTTGTTACCAACCATCGAATTTTAGCAAGTGTTAATTTAGTGCAAAACTCGTTTGTTTTTCGTTCATTGTTGTTTTAAAGTTTATAGGCAAAACCATGATTTTTAAGTTTGTCTTATGCGTTATGTTATTAAGTCGAAGTGTGTGGGGTTTTAATACTTCAGAGAAGTATTTAAGATGGGAAAATCCTTTTGGAGGAAAACAAAAAGAAGGAAGGCTCATTTCTTTTAATTCGGATAGCGGAGATATAAGTGTAAGTCCATTCTTTAGATTTAAACATATTTTATTAGCTTAATAGTTTAATTAAAACTAATAATTTTTGTAGGTTGAATTAGACTTTATTGTCCCCTTTATCTCCCTTCCCGTGAAGGACTCTTTAGCAATGGCCAAAGGGGCCGTTGCTAATATTAATGTTGGGGCAATACTTTTATCTGGAGCTGTTATATTTTCCTTGGCATTTTTGCTTCCTGGACTGTTGACGATATTTTCCAAAAAAATGCCTACCTACAGCAATAATTATCAAAGAAGTAAGTTGGTACACTGTAAAAAAATATTTTAGTGCGATGGAATGATAGTAGTGTTCCACATCAATCTAACTTTACACTTAAATATTCATTTAACACTAGCCAAGCTCTGGCTGTGCACATTAGTGTAAATATGCAATCAGGGGGTGTTCAGTTGACAAAAACGCAATCTTGTTTCGTTCTATTTCTCTCAGAATTTGTGTTGGAAGAATGCACCAAGCTGTTTAGTTGTGGTTTATAATTATTAACTAAAGGTAAGTCAATTTTAAAGTATTATTACTCATCATGGCTTATAGTGTCAAAAATTGCATTTTTTTGACCTTATAAGGTCGTAAATCGCGTGAAAATCGCGTTTTGTACACTGTTCAAAATTTCATGACCATTTTAACACCAAATTAATGGTGTTAAATATGGTTCGTTGGTCCAGAGTAAATTCAAATACTAAAATGGTGTAAATTTAACTTTCACACAGTATTAAAATAAATTTTACCTGGTGTAAATTGTAAAGTGTTAAATATTATGTGTTTTTGGTGAAATTAAATCATCCTACACAGAAAAAAAGAAAAAAAAGGAAACAGGAAGTTCCTTGACGCATTACAAGTATATTATTTCAGAAAATTAAACCTTCAACTCGCTAGAGATAATGTTTTTAGTGCGTTCCACAGGGGTGTTTCTGGAACTTTGCAAATTGTGCAGCCATCTAGCGTGATATTGTACTAACTAAGATCAAATTGTACTAACTGCGAAAATTCAAAAACTGTCCAAATTTAATCAACATCAGATTTCAGCTTCCAGAATCACCCTTGCATAAGTTCAAAAGAAAAGTAATAAACAGCTAACCTAACATTCACTATCACCTCACAGATTCACAGCTGGATGCGACAGAAGTAATAGGTTAGGCTAATGATGACCACATAACATGATGACTTGACTTTTAAAGTTGACATTTCGGTACCTTAGTTCTAGGTGCAGTTGCCATATTAAGCAAAAATGCCTTATCTGCAATATTTAATATTGTCACTCTCGCTTAACAGTGCAGCTGCATTTAGAACCTTGTCATTCTAAGGTACCGATTTGACGCCTTGCCCTTCATAGAGAAACTTTCTCTATGATTCTCTCCGTAATGTAGGCTCCGTTACCAACAGTAAACAGTGGCTAGAAATTTTGTCTCAATTTTGAGATTCGTTTTATTATGTTTTTCTATTTAATTAATTGCCTTTAAAGGCAATTTTGAAAATTGTACTAGAATTGCCAAAGAGGTGCTGACGTACTAGAAGTTATTTTTTGTACTAGAAAAGTACAATTGTACTAAAAATCACACCCCTGGCGTTCCACCAACTTAAAATACTTCAAGTATTGACAGCTGTTTCCACCTATTTAAGGTCTCTTTAGTATCGAACAACTTAAGTTGTAGTGTCACACCAAAGCAAAGGACTACCAGAGCTTATATACCCTTCATGTAAGTCAACAGAGGCGAGATTTAAGAACATCACGTGATCCACACCGCCTTTGCCGCGATCGGTACACACTATGCAACAAGGAATGCACGGCAAATTGTTTTAATCGTTTTAACAGAGTGCTTTAGGTTGAAGTAACTCTTATTTTACAAACCACATATTTAGTAAACTGAACCATACAGCGGGTTGGTTTCACTAGGTTTTCTGGGTTAATTTAACCAATTTAAAAAAAAAATAACTATCTGGTTTAGTACCGTCAAACTAATCTTTGTTTATATTAACCTTCGCACAGTTGATTTAAATAAATACTTATGGGTCAACTAAAATAATAAAGTTAAATGAACTATTCCTTTTTTTCTGTGTCTCACATATTTTTAGATAAACACCGTTTTGGTATTTGCTGTATATAACATTCATGGTGTTTATATTAACACCACTTGGTGTTGGATTTTGACACCATTTTAAGATTACACTTTACACCACAGATATTTTAAACAGTGTACTATTGTACAGTTCTTACAATAGCTCAGTTAAATGTATAAAATAAGTAAACCGTTTTTTTTTATTTTTAGATGTTTTTCCTGAGAGTAAACATGTCCATGATGCCAAGTTTAATAAAAAAATAAAAAAAATAGCCAAAACCTTAGCAGTGCGATACCAGCAGATGGCATTTTATGATGACAACTTTAGCACTGAATTGCAAAGAGGACCTTCAAAGTTTTATTTTAAGATTATCACTGCAAAAATTTGGTATATAATTATATAGAAGAATTTTTCAATTCGATAGATATTTTAGTCACAAAATGGGTAAGAATTGGTTACCTGTATAAAACTACGAGATTTTATGAGCCATACAATTTACACCAATCTAACAGTGTCAATTGGTTCTTTATGCCAAAATACCTATTGTATGAAGTTTTAAACGTATTTATATTTTAAGTAATTGCCAAAGATTAGTTTTATATTTTGTAGCGTAAAACTTACAATTGACTGCATTTACGTACGTATTTATATAAAGTAATTGCCAAATATTGTAGTTTAATTTTTTGTAATGTAAAACTCACAATTGACTGTATTTATATATAAATATAAATTTTATTTATTTTATTTAAACATTATTTAAACACCCCAGAGCATCCTCAAAGTAATTCATAAAATTAAAAATAAATGAAAATATAAAAAATTAATAAGAGCAAAATCATTGCAAACCTCCATTATATATTTTTTAAGCGTACAATTATTTTTATATTATAACACTTCAAAGTCTATATTAAAAGATTTCATGAAAATTAATACTAGTTCAAATGTCAAATTATTATTAAACTTTCTACCGAAATAAAGCTAAAATGTCATCGTCAGTTGAACCTAACATAAAAATGATGTGACAAAATTTAAAATAAAAATAAAAAATGCAATGCTTGGAAAAAAATAGTACCTGCCTCGCACACAATCTACTGCCTCAGCTGACGCATCGGCAGTGAAATGTATGCTCAGCGATAATAAGTGATTTCTCCTTATATTATATAATATACCATTTTTATCGACATTAATTTAATTTTATGTATGTAACTTTAAGGGCGCACTGCAGGCAACAATCTTACACAATATTGTACAATTTTTAAATCTATTAGTGTTAGGATATACACTAGATAGGAATAGCATTCATACTAAATGCGAAATAAATGCAAATAAATTAGTGTCAAAGTGAACACGGTTAGTGTACACTCTAAAAATGAATTAGTCAAAAATGACAGTTATTAGTGGCTGCTTTTTCACATACCATGGTATACCATGGGATAGCATGGTATCCACGATATACAAGGTGTGTTCAGAAAATAACGGGAATTGTTAAATTTTGCGGGTTCGGAGGGTCCGGTTGTCATAAAATTTTCTTTATTATGTTGTTATACATTCCCACGAAGTATGATAAAAACTTTAGCTGTTTTCATTGTTTACTTTGTCTGTGGCAGCCGCTAAGGTTAGTCGTGTTTTATGAGATCGGCGATTTTCGTTCGTTAAAAAAAATGGATCAAAGAATTTGTATCCAATTTTGCTTAAAAAATGAAATAAATTTTGTGAAATGTTAACAAAGGCCTATAAGTAAAACAAGAGTTTAGTGGTATAAGAGTTTTCAAGATGGCCGTGAAGACGTTGAAGATGACGAACGCCCCGATCGCACAAGCACATTAACAACCGATAAAAACATGAAAAAATTGGAAGAAATGGTTATAAACCATCAGAGAAGTCGCTGATGATGTTGGTATATCGATTGGCTCATATCATGAAATTTTTTCGAATGTTTTGGGTATGAAACGCGTGGCAGCAAAATTTGTTCCAAAATTGGCCAAAAACAATACTGTAATGATGCCCTATAGCCTTCATATTCGCCAGACATGCCTTTGTCTGACTTTTTCCTATTCCCAAAAATAAAGACAACCTCAAAGGGCGGTTGTTTTGCAAGCATAGATGACATTAAAAGCGCATCGCTGAAAGAACTAAAGGCTATCCCAAAGATCGAGTTTTAGAAGTGTTTCGAGTATTGGAAGAAGAGCTGGCACATGTGCATAATATCCAATGGGGACTATTTTGAGACGACAACATTAATGTAGACGAATAAATAAATATTTGTTTTAAAAAACGAAACAGTTTTTGAGATATAGTCAATTTCCCAAATAATATGAAATTGACTATATCTTCAAAACTGCTCTACTTTTATAATTTTTGACAGTATTTTCGGATCCAGGGGACAATTTTACATAAAAATTGGCTATTATATCGGGGATACCATGCTATCCCATGGTATACCATGGTATTAGTGAAAAAGCAGCCACTAATAACTGTAGTAAATAATCATTTTTGACTAATTCATTTTTAGAGAGTAGTAATTTTCAATCAAATAGTGTATAAAGTTGCACGAACTGTGTTAAATGTGTTACACTATAAGAGTACAACCTCTAGAGTTAAAACAATAAATAGTAGGTATACCTAGTAGTTAATAATAATAAAGCAACATTTTTTATCAAAATTCTTTTCATTTAAGTTTCCAATTTTCAAGAAATACTTTTGTTACTGGGTCTAGAAAAAGGTTTGTAAAAATAAGGTCCTTTTTAAAAATTACAACAATTATGGTTGAATTATTGATATAGGAGTTTGTTATTAAATGTACAAACAATTTTTTATAAATACGAACTACTTATTTAATTAGTTTACAGATTACAAAAAGTTGTAAACTTAACATAAAGTTATGTGTACCTGGATAAACAACAAATATTTTTTTACTGTGCTTATTTTGGTATACGAATATAAAAATATATTAAACAAGTTACAAAGGAATTTTATTTTGAGTGAAGCGTATTTCAATTGCGTCAGAAAATTTCTTTATTTTACTATAATAACATTTTTAGGAGAAGATTCAACAATATTTAAGTACCTGTTGGGTATAGACGAAGTTTTACTAGCAAACGACATAGACGCTACAACTTGCATGCAAAGAATAGTTTGTTGGTCTGTTAAAAATGCCTCGAAACAAGTGAACACTGGCCATGGCAAAAGCATGGATAAACTTCTGGACGGCGTGGCTTCAAACGATTGGCTAAATTACTACATCCGTGGAACAGCTATAGACGATGCCATCAAAAATGGATACAATGGTATAAATTGTTCAAAAGCGTATGGAAAGTGCCAAATTACACAACAAGCTATACAAAAGTTGTCCAAGAACTTAATTAATGCGGTTAATGGGGGCTGAGAAAAAATATTATTACTTTAAACTGTCTTTTTTCTAAAAACAAATTTGGTGAAATAGGGTGAATGAAGTGAATAAAAAGGAAATAAAAAGTTAAAAACATTGTTTGAATATTTTAAATCAATAATTTTTTAAACTCCTTTAATAATGAGTTTTAATACTTACTTTAAGAATATCTACTTTAATGGCGTATTTTTTAATTTCTAAAAATATTACTTAAATGGACTTTGCTGGGTTTGATATAAGACCCTTGATATTATTTGTATAAAATAACATTTCACATTTTTATTTAGTTTGTGTTTTTAAGGACATGTTAAGAATTTTCCAGTTGTGTTAATAGTTAAGAACCTACTTGATTGTTGATTTTTCTATAAATTATCATACCATACTGTATGTTTTTCTGTATATATATATATATATATATCTTTTCTGATAAACCCTTCACAAATAAAAATCGAAAGTAGATTATTTCTTTGACTTGTTGGTACCTTTTTTAATTTCAACTTTGACTTTATACACAAGAGAAATAGGTTAGATTAATTGATTAATTTAAACATTATAAACTCGTAAAGAAAAAATTGCTAATGAATTTGTAATTTTTTTTATAAATGCCCCATTAAACTCAATACCAAAAAACACAAATACTGATGTAAATTTTAAAATACCATCTATAAATCAATCAATCTTTCTTTCACCTGTTGTAGAAAATGAAATATTAAATATAATATACGCTTTAAAAACAACAAATAGTTGTGGTCCAGATAATATACCTTCATTTTTAATTAAATTATGTGCCCCATATATTGTTTTACCATTATGCCATTTCGTAAATACAAGCTTTACCAAAGGACTGTCTAAAAATTGCTAAAATTATTTGTCTTTTTAAAAAGGCTGATAAAAGTTCAATTCAAAACTTTAGACCAATAGCGCTTTTGTCAGTCATTTCAATAATTCTTAAAAAATGTCTAGCTGGGCGAATAATTCAATTTTTGGATATTTACACCTTAATGACAAATTTAAAGTTATGGCTTCATTTGTCGATCTTTCAAAAGCATTCGATTGCGTCAATCATGAAATTCTACTTAAAAAAATTGAATGTTATGGTTTGCGTGGCCAGTGTAATAAATTATTAAAATCCTATTTGTCAAACAGAAAGCAATTTGTTCTTTTTGAGGACGAAAAATCAGACGTTTGTAATGTTGATATAGGAGTCCCTCAAGGAAGTGCGTTAGGACCTCTTTTATTTTTATTATACAGTAATGACTTGCAACAAGAATTGAATATATATCACTGTTCATTTGCTGATGATATTGAGATTATATCAATTGCCAATAATGAAATGTCCAATAAACTTAATTTAAATATGAATAAAATTTACAATTATTTTCAAAAAAATGGGTTATCTTTAAACCAGGAAAAAACTTTTAATATTGAATTTTATCCATATGGTGCATATTACATTAAAAGTCCACTTGTTAAATTAAACAATTAAAAGTTTCATTCACAAAATTGTTAGGTGTTAATATTGATGTCACTAAATTGGAAGGAGCAAGTTAATCTGGTATGTACTAAGTGTAGTTGTGCATGCTATGCTCTTAAAAGGTTACAAAATATTTCTAATGCAAAAGTGGTAAAAATGTTCTATAATAATGCTATCATATTGTGGGGAAACTCTATAACATCGGACAGGGTTTTTATTCTTCAAAAACAGGCGATACGATGTATGTTCGGTTTGAAAATGAGAGACTCGTGCAAAAATATGTTTATTAGGCAAAACATGCCAACGTTTCCATTATTGTATATTTTTGAAATGCTTAAGTTTGTTAAATTAAATTTAAATAAGTTTGAGTTTCAAAATGTACACCACAATTATGGTACACGCAGAGGTAACGAATTACAATTTGCTTTGCACAGAATGGAGCTGTATAAATCTAATCCTTTGTATATTGGATCTGTATTATATAATAACCTTCCATTATCGATTAGAGACTTACCAACTTTAATTATGAATGTTAAATTACAAACATTCTTATTGGTAATGCATTTTATTCTGTAAATGATTATATGCAGACTGCAGTGTTATATTTAACTGCAATCATGATTATAAAATTATTGTACTTTCTGTAAGTTTTATTGTATGTTGTATTTTCTTAACGGTTTAGGTAATGTAATGTAAAGTTTTGTTGTTGACTTGTCCTATATCGTGATCTGATCTACTGGATGAATAAAGGTGTTATTATTATTATTATTATTATTATTGTGTAAATTCAATTAAGAATTGTTTGAACTTTTGACTGTATATAAAGGAATAAAAGGGAAAAGAACGTAAGATTTTTCTTTAAGTTTTGTTATATTGATGCATGTTTGTCTTAAATCCAATCATGTTGGTCCACATGCAATGCTATGGATTTATATTTTTTATTTGTGCTTTGCCCACTGAAATGTTTATATAATAATTCGAAAATTTGATCTTATCGTAGCCTTGAAAAATAAGTAAAAATAAACTTCAAATTTTTTTTTTATTATTGTCCTACACTAATATTAATAATAATAACAATAATTATAATAATAAGAGGTCTAATGATCATTGGCTGTCGATGCCCTAACCAAAAACAAAGTGTGATTGGCAAACAAATTATTTCTGGCGCATTCGCCATTTTTAAGAAACAGTATTTTATTATAGTATATTATTATACGAGAGATAATGCGCATAATCTCGAGTGTAATACTATAATTTATCTACTCCAATAAGTAGATAATTAAATAATTTTCAAAAATAATTAAATAAAATCTGACATCTGTCACTTTTTACCCATTTTAAATCTTATTATAGTCGCCTTCTCTCAATTTAAAACCCGATTGGTTCAAATCACAGTGAATATTGAAATCGGCCAATAACTGATGCCTAACAACGTGCATAATGAATTCATTATTCCCGTTGTTAGGCAGGGAATTTATAATGTTTATCATTATTCACGGAGACCCAATATTATGCAATAGGAGTTAAAAAGAATATTTTACGAAAGTGTGAACTAATAGGGTTTTAAATTGGGAAAAAGTGATGTTAAAACTTTTTAACAGATGTCGGTTTGTTTTATAAACAGGGAGAGTCATTTAAATTAAAACTTTGAAATATCTTAATTAGTATGCATTTTACGAAAAAATGTTTAAAATAAAAATTAAATCATTCGAGGGGGAAATCAATCAGTACTAAAATTTGCCCTCATACTCTCCTCCTTATAGGGGGAACAGGGGGTAACTTTAAAATTTCCAATGGAACACCCTATCTTTTATTGCAGATTCTGATCATTCGACTAAAAATAGGTAGATTTTGCCTAAAACATTTTTTCATATTTGAAATAGATTGCGCTGTAATGAAAAAAAATCAATTTTGTTCGATTTTTCTTCTGTATACGATTCTCCAATAATTTTTGAATAAAATACTTGGTTTAAATTTTAATTAAAGTAGGTGCTTAAAATGGTGGCCTTGGACTTCAATGCATTTATTAATTCGCATTTCGTTTTAATATTCTGCTAACACTGCTCTGGGATATTCCCAAATCTCTAGATAATGCTAGTGTGCTTGCATGAGGATTAGCGGCCGTTGCTGCTAATACAATAATTTCATTATTTCCACCCGTGACTGTTGAACCACGAACTCTTTTTTTCGGTTGAACACTCCCGTTTGTAGTAAACTGCTTGACTGTAGATATTAACAGCATCATCAAGATTCCTGCCTGCTTCTCCATAAATCAAAATCATTTCTATTTTTTCTTCCACTGTTAAAAAATCCATTATGAATAACTGCTTAACGAAGGGAGGTTTTTTTGTTTGCAAATTAATCTTCGAACTAAATTTAATAGTTATTAGTGGCTGCTTTTTCACTTGTACCATGGAATACCATGATATCCCAAAATTTAGCCCCCGAATCCGAAAATGTCGTATAGTCAACTTTCCATTTAATATGAAATTGACTATATCTTAAAAACTGCTTCACTTTAATAATTTTTGATTCAGGGGACAATTTTACATAAGAATTGTCTGTTAAATTTTGGAATACCATGGTATTCCATGGTTAACTATTAAATTATTCATTTTTGACTAATTAATTCTTAGAGAGTATAATACACTTCTAAAATTCATTCCTTTATTTAATTTCTTATATAATTGAAGACACTTTCATAAATAATTGTTATCTGTTGAATATCACCATTCAATTGTTGTTAGGTACCTATATCTTGCTTAATTTTAAAAATCTTGAAAATTGGTAAAGACAGTGTTTTATAAGTTACGGTATTTATAAAATTAAAGAATATGAAAAAACATACCTAATATATTCATACAAAAAATAAAAAATATGTTTTTCTATTTATGTATCACGGTTTCAATTTAACCACATAATATTATAATTAAATGAGTAACCCATCCGGTCACTTATCATAGGTTTTATTACATTTTAGTATCCCTTCAACAATTAAAATATTATGTTGTGAAAGCTTTTTTGGTTTTTATCCTTATACATACAAAAATGATTTTTTTTAACTCAATAATAGTTTTATTGTTTATTTATACTTGCGTACTTGCTCATGAAGCCAATGATTGTGATTTTTTAGTGGTTACAAATTTTACAAGGAAAAAAAGTTATATAACAGTGAAAAATAGAATGGCAAATGTTATGTGTTCAGAGAATGGCAATAATTTGATATTAGGTAAGAAAATAATAATAATAATGATAATATATAAGATTTATTAATAATATACGCGTATCTTCCAAACTCACCTCCAGAGTAACTTTTAATTTCAATTAAGTAAAAAACATTTTGTTTGATAATTTTGCATTAAATGAAAACGATTTAAAATAATTAGGATATGCACACAACGAAAAACGTACGTAATATTAATAAAAAAAACATTAAGGCAATGATTTTTTACATTAATTTTGCTCCGATGCTTAAAATCATTACCACAATGCTTTTAAAGTATTACTCAATGTACAAGGACGT